CAAGTATAGCCAGATAATCTTTACTGTGTGAATTATCTGTATATAAAATGTGTCACTATTATACAAGATGTTGCTGAAAACTAGTAGAATTTATATTTTATATTTTTATCATTTATATTTTATTTATATTTTAAATTCAAATGAACAGCAACTGTGATCGCTAAGATTTTCACAATCAACAAAATGTAAACTGAGCAAAGCTGGACAAACTTTTGCATACCACTAAATATTAGATAAAATATTTTCTGATAATTTAGTAATCAATCATTGTACTTTAAATAAAGGTTAGATTTTTGTTAATATTCTGAATGAAATATGAAAAGGATCAGCAATGAATGTTTTTTCACAGCCTGTTTTGCTCATATTTACCAGGAGTGCCAATATTTGTGGAGAGCACTGTAGATAAGCTCTGAATAACTTCACTGTAAAAAAATAAATAAATAAAAAAAACAGTTCACTAACATCATAAAGCAGAGATTTATACTGGATAGAAACTTCAGGAGGGACCTGCAGACAGACTGCATCTCCATCAGACGCTACAGTCTGACAGTTTAATGACGACGGGGCACTACGGCCAACATTTCAAACGAGTTACTCACAAAAACCCCCATCCATCACATCAACACCACAGCAAAGAGCCGGCAAACAAACCTGCGAACTGAGAGACGGACTGAGTCGGGGCAGTTAAACAGTGTGTGCACTTATGTCCATTCTGACTGTATAACACTGAATATATACTATTACATTACACATATTCGATTAACAAACCTTGTATGAAATGAAATTATACATTTCTTTTAACTAGAGTTTCAATTAAAGTAACAGTGATTAATCACATATATTATTATATTTTATATATTATTTAATTAGTTATTAACTATTACACAAAGCTATTTTAATGGGTTAGCAGTGGCTTATTATTCTGGAACGTGCCTTGACTTTAAATAAGAACTATTTTTAACACAGTAAGCCCAATTATATTTTTACTGTGCAAAAACGCATAACAAAACTGAATAAAACATTACTGATTATTGATTTTTTACTTTTTTTTTTTAGTTACAGTCCAGATAAACAGCTGTAAAAGGGCCCACATCATGGAAAACCAAGCTTTCCTCACGTTTCTGAACTAAAGGAGTTTGACGAGGTAAAAGTTTCAAAATATACTGTTCATTCTTCAGTCTATACAGCCCATATATAAATATTAAGCTGCAAAATCTATTTTGAATTCATTGTTTTTGTGATGTCACATATACACCTATTCAGCCTAGAGCAGTTTAGCCCCATCCATTCAGACTGACGTTATGACTGTTTTTGTCTAAACTGCTTTTTGAATGAGGCACAATCCAGGGCAGCCAATGAGAACAGAGCTCATTTACATATACCAGTCTTAAAAAGTCAGTAACAAAAACAAGCTGTTTAATTCTAAGGGATAAAGAGAGGTTGGAAATGGTCATGTAAAAGTCAATTATGACCGTTTTTGGCAAACAAATCTAAACGAAAGTCCTAAGTGGAAAAATGTAGGAAATATGGAGTTTAAACTATTTACACAATATTGTAAATAAATGAAATACAATGGTTCCTTTAATAAAATAGTTTGTTTTGACAGTGATGACTTGCAGCATTGCTGTGTGTTCTAAAAGAAATTAAATCTGAAATATTTCCAATTGTGTGTGTGTGTGTGTGTGTGTGTGTGTGTGTGTGTGTGTGTGTGTGTGTGTGTGGAGGGCTCAGGAAGGCTCAGGTGTGTGTGATGACGCATTGCGTCCATGGTGGGTCTGGAGTTCTGTTCTGCAGCATCGATAGACTTGTGTGGACCGCCACTGAGACTCTGGCGCACACCCACAACGCTCGCCCACTCTCGCCAGGCAAACCTTACATCTATTTATATCTGCACTATTCAGCCAAACGAGCAGCTCAGTTTGGCTCTGAATGAGATCAGAATATCGGCTGTTTATTGACTCACGGAAACACAGAGTAACTCCAGTTTCTATGTTTACAGTGTAATTTTCCAGAAGCAGATCAGGTCCAGTCTAGTTTTGGTCTAAATTACTTCAACACAGATTCTTCGCTGAAAATCATTTCTTGCTCGGGTCAAACGGGCCTAACGTTCGTCACTACATACGAACTCACTGACGTCACGCGCTGGCCGAGGACCCTCACTCGTAATGCTCAACGACCGTGTGCTGCCAAAGTCACGCAGAACAAAAAGGACACCGCTGCTTCTTCTGGACCTGCTACTGACCACACGCACTCGGTTATTTTAAAGGGCCCTTAACCTGCATCTTTCTTGATTTGGTTTTGTACTTTATAAGATTTTTTTATTGTATTTTAAAATGTTAATTTATCTAAAATGTATGTAAGTTGATGCATCAAAAACAGTTTTTAGTTATAATGCATTTTTACCTGATCATTTTTTCCATTTCTTTTTATACCATAGAATTAAACAGGCTGCTTTTTTCTACTGTGCCTTTAAAGCTACGTTCACACAGCAGGTAAAAGTGGCCCAAATCTGATTTTCTTTGTTTGGCTGTTCAGATTATCTTTTAAACATGGTCTGTATGCGACATCAGTCTGAACAGATCAGCTCCTAAACTGACCCACAAACACAAAAGAACAGTGCTTCACGCGGCTCATCCAGAGATAAACAATCATGACTGCCAACGAACGCCAGTCGCTCCCGGAGGATCAGCTTCATCTTCACCAGCATCACAGGAGCCATCATGAAGCTTCACTGACTGACAGCTGGGCTCAGAATGTGACCCAGAATGTGTTCAAGCCGTAAAAAGGCTGCGGTCACTTCTTTGGTTCGTGTCCTCGGATTCTTTAAACTCTGCTTTCAGGCTTTTAACAGTTCTTTGACGCTGCGGACTTGTTCTCCTGCGGCCGCACTGTTCACACTGACACACAGACACATATGAAGAAAAAGATTTGGGTCACTTTTACCTGCTGTGTGAACAAAGCCTAAGACTGATATATGCAAATGGCCTCTATTCTGACTGACAGCCAGGTTGAAATACTCCTTATAACTTCAGTGTGAATGGGAAGGGCTTATCAGCTGTAGGCTTTTTCAACACATTTCAACCCCAAAATTAGACACGCCCGTGCCTACATGCACCACATGGCTGCCTATGACAGACATAATGCTTCCTATAGAAAATGAACAGGTTCTGCTGCTGTGCTTTGCCGCACCGACGTGAACGCAGCGCAAACTGAAAGCTCAGTGGCTGCATAAGAACGCATTTGTGGGAGGAGTGTGGGTAAGTCAAGGGTCGGCAAACAAAATGTTGAAAGGACAAAATGGCTTTCTTAACAAAAATCGAACCACCTCGGGAGCCCCAACATTTTATATCCATTTTACCATCTTCGCTGTAAATATGTGTCAGTATGTGCTGATGTACTGGCATTGGCTAAAAATGACGCAGACTTACTTTGCTCTGCTTTAAGCTTTAGCTCAGCTATAGCAGCTTTTCTCGCATCTCCAGCAGGAAACATTTCCGCAAAAGTAGTACAGTATCATGTAAAATGTCTCTCAATGTTCGATTTTTTTTATAAGACTGAAGTCAGCTTCTCATTCGCCAGCTTCTTGTTTGAATTCTCCCGTTCGACCTTAAATGGTGCCTGAGGCGCCAGAATGTAACTGCTGCACCATTTAAGGTCGAACGGGAGAATTCAAACAAGAAGCTGGCGAATGAGAAGCTGACTTCAGCTTCAAGGCTTTTTAGTGTTTGACAGTTTCTCATTGCAGATTAAGTTGGAATGATTATAAATGCAAATAAGTCGATTCATCTCCAAATTATCGACGTACGTCTTAAAGCTTGACCAGCAGTCTGCGCTGATCTTCAGGGTTAAAGGGTGAATTAGCAGTTCTACATTAACTCCAGAGTTTAAGACCATTTATTGTTAAACTGTGTTGAACGATCAGCAGAGCTTTATTTTACTGTAAAGGAGGATTATTTTATTTTTACCTACAAATCTGATTCTGCTGTGGAGCCACAACAGGACAGTTAAAGAGCCACATGCTGCCGTCTCCTGGGACAGGTCAACAGCAAAAATAGTTATAGTGATATATGGACAGAGCTGCGCACTGCAGAAGCTGTTTGTAAAGCACTAGCATGTTACACAAGCTACCTTTAGGCAGCCCTCGCATAATGCGCCTCATCATCCCCACCTCACTGCCTCTGGACTGGAGGGAACATAAATAAATAAATAAATAAGACGCCACAAGAGAGTCCCTTTCTGACCATTTCCTCCACGGGTCATGTTCATTTGTGACTGCTGCGCCGCAGAGAGGCACAAAACAATTACAATTACAATCAGCATTTACGTTGTTGACGTTGAGGGGCCGAACATACAGTCGTAATCTAGATTTAGCCTCTGTATCTGTACAACTGCATTCCAAATATAGGATGCTTTGTTTAAATAAGCATGGTGGCAATGAACCCGAGGGAGAGACCCAAAGAGCACGAATACATCCTGCTCCTGGAAAAAGGTCAGATTCACCCATTAAGCACAGAGAGAGAGAATGCAGGAAAAACATACACTCACTCAGCGCGCCCCATAAATATGTACAGTTAGCATTTATCAGCTAGTTAGTGTTTAGTTAGTATTTACACAGCCACACAGGAAACACTCCAGAGTGCTCCGCTTGTGTGCTATAAGCTTAAGGAGCAGCCTGAAGATAAAATCGGAGTTTGAAATCCCAGAGCAGCACAGTGACAATCAAAGCTAGCAGGCCAGTGCTGGAGAACAGCATCAGATCAGTTAAAGCGAAGGGAACACCCAGATTCGCAGCTAAATGGCCGTTTTTTTCCCCCACCGTGACGCTGCAAAACAAAGATATTAAGATGACAAATGCTTCCCGAGTGACTACAAAGACTCAGACTACCTCAGAGAGAGAAAACAAATATTTAGACGAGGCTAAAGGGATTCAATAAACAGCCGGGAGCAGGGAGGGGGCATGTTGAGGCAGGCCTGTTAGTGCCGCAGGCAAGCTAACGTACCGTCTGGCTCTCTGGAAAGTCCATTTTGATCAGCTTGTGGGCGCATTCCTCAAAGTCCAAGCTGTGAAAACACGAAGAAGGAGTAAGAATCATTAGTATGCAACAGCGCTTTCAAATCCTTAACAATTTAAAAAATAGTCCCATTTTCAAACAGAACACCAAGCAGTGAAAATGGACATACTTCAGATTTTTTTTATGCACATTTGCTGTCATAAATGACCTGCAAACCAACCTGCTTAAAAATGTGCATATTTTAGTATCCTGAGCATGTAAGATTGCGCGCACACGCTAAACGACAAGGAATGCACATGAAATATTTATCGCATGGTATTGCTGCTACTAAAGCCCATGAATATTTCTTCAGAGGGTCACAGATATTGAATTATCCGCACATTAGAATATTCATTAGGCTAAACCTTCAAAACATGCACAGCAGCAAAGAATTTTCTCTTCTAAACGACTTGAATCCATCAACGCCACTGTAAGAGTAGAGAGCAAGAAGTGTAACTCCAAAAGTGCAAACCCAACAGAACCTGCTGTCCCTGTTTCTAGAAAAACCCGAATATCGTGTGACTGCAGAGAGGGGCTATAAACAGTAGCTCATACGGCATTCAGCCAAGATCTCTTATCACTTAAAACATTTTTGGAAAGCTGGACAGTTTTTTTTTCCTCCTATGGTTTCTGTCCGTGTCAGCCAGGCTGGGCTTTTACTGGGGACCAGATACGGCGCCTGCTGCTCCTGCTGGATGGTCAGCTACAGCGACTCTAACAGTGGGCATTTTTACGCTTGTCAACTACGGCACCTTTAACAGTATGAATTTTTCCCTCTGTCAGCTACGGCTCCTGTAACACGTATAAATTTATGTGTACACACACACACACACACACACACACACACACACACACACACACACACACATACACACACACATATATATATATATATATATATATATATATATATATATATATATATATATATTTATTTATTTATTATTCTGTTCTTATTTTTTTAATAATGCCAAATACATCTTAAATTTTTTTATTTATTTCATTAATTATATTTTTAGCTATCCATATATTATATTTTAAGCTATTATAATGTTGTAATTGTATTGGTTTATTGATTTGATTTTTTTATTTACTACTATGATTATTATTACTTTTCAGCATTTGTTATGTTTTTACTGTTTAAGTTCTCAATCCCTGATTTCTGTACTGGCTCAGCTACAGATGGATTTATACATTTCTACACACACACACACACACACACACACATTTTTATATATACATATTAATTTATTTTTTAGGCCCTGGTCACCTATGGTGCATGTAACAGTATGAATTTTTACCTACAGTTCCTGCAACAGCATGATTTTTATAACTAAAGTGGCTGTAACCTTTATTGTAACAAATCTTTATGCAGCGTGATGGGGACAAACCACATACCATATCGCAATTACAATCAACTGTGAAGGCAAAATGCCTCACAATATACTGCAAACACACCAGTGAACCCTCAATGTGATTCTATTAATAATTAGGCAGCTTTATTTTGACAGAAATAATTACATTTGTTATTTTGAATGGTCTAGATTCGCACCCACAGAAACACCCATCTGGGACATCTGTGAGTGTTCAGGAAGCCTACTGACCACAATAAAACGTTTAGTTTGGTTAGAGGGTTCACATGAATTGCTGCTTGCTTTCTTTCAACCCGACAGCAAACAGAGTCATCATGAACCTCTCACATTCTGTCGGCATTCTGCATCTCTACGTCAAGCTCTTAAAGTGCTCACACACAATCACATGCTGTAGCAGTGACTGCAGCCACCCACCACTACCCCTGCATGCCAACTCAGGATAATTTCAGAGTCTGAGAAGTAAAGGAAAAGTGCAAAACCGTCTCCTCTGTTGTAAAAGTATATTTAGCTTTAGTGAATTTAGAAATGTCAGTAGCCAAAGTTTCAGTCTCCCAGTTCTACAGTTTGCATGTGTTGTTTTAACTTGCTTTTAATCACCACAGGGTTAAAATAAGTTTCTTGGCTCCTGACAGCTCTATAACTCTGAGGTGGCAGAACTGAGAATAGATGCGCTGCTGGTTTGGCACTAAAATAGCACTGTGTGTGTGGAGTTAGCCCTCGGGACATCGGGACACAATGGTCCTCCTGTCTTTCTCTCTGACGGCTCAGCAGGTCTGAAAGAGCCACTCAACAACCAATCAGCAGGGAAATTTCATCACTTATCGGAAAAGGAGAGAAGGCGAGTACGAGATGCTGTGTTTTTCTCCAAGGAACACATCCACCATACCATGCTTCTGCATTTTATTCTCGTCCACAGAGGGAGCTTGTGTGTCTCTGCCGCCTAGTGATAATATAATCTATCACAATATGCTTTTCTGAGTTTATCATGGCTATTGTCAGCGCTTCTAGAACAGTAAACAACCGCAGGCAATATAAAAAGACAGATTTAGGCCAATTATAAACAACAGCAGCTTACAGTAATTGCATAAACTGTCATAACAAGTAGCTGATTGAATAAAAGTAAATTTGGACTATCTAGGGATGCAAGATATATATTTACTCAGCAGATTATTGATACAACCAACCAATATCAGTATTTTTATTCTGGCAGATCTGTGTTGTAGCTTTATGAAGTAGAGAAGGCAGGTAAGTGCACTCACTGTATTTAAATGCGGATGCACACTTGATTCAAAATATAGAAGCCTAATTGAAACTGTAATTTGAAATAGTGCAATTTTCAAATTACGAGAGCTGCAGTTTTAACGATAGCCTGCATTACCAACAACACTGGCTGTGTTTACATGCAAAGACATTTGCCAATCTGATTGAATACATTCCGATTACAGATTAAGACTGAGGTGTTCATATTCCCACTTTACTCAACAATCTGTTGGAAATCCCTGTTTACATGCTCACCACAAGTAATCAGATCCAAAATGATGCGCATGCGTAGAGAACCACTCAGTGTAGACGTTACCATGACAACCAGCATCACGTGAGTCCAGTCAGAGTGAGACGAGCAGCAGCGAGCAGCGCTTGTGTTTTTACTTTAAAATGATGTCAGACTCAGGAAAACACGTCCTTATTAAAGAAGGCCGAGAGGAAGACGTCGTGTTCTGAGACACATAAGCTGGACGTCCGTCCCACCGCCGTCTTTTAAAGATCAGAGCATAAACTTCGTCTCCTCTGCAGACCAGTTTCTGCTCCGCCATGTTGAACGGTATAAACTTTCACTATGACGTGACGAACATGATCAGAACGGACTTAAACTTTCCGATAGGGAATGTAATCAGATACAGGCGTTTACACGGATATTATTCTATTTAACGGATTATTTACAGGATTACCCACCTCGATCAGTCGGACAGAAACTGTATTCTAAATAGCCTCAATCAAACTAGTCTATTCCGACTGAGGTGTTTACATGGATGTATTCTATTCCGATTAAGCAATTAGTCCGATTAACAAGCTGCATAAACGTGGCTAGTTTCTTACGTTTTAAGTGGGGAAATGTAACCTATGAACACAAAGCTTGTGAACATCTTAGAGATGAGTAAGACTAATCAAAAAATCAACCAAAAGGCCCATTTGCAGTGACATCACAACTACCACTAACCAGCAGTCTGGCACACTACATTTAGTGTTCAAGCCTCATGCCAGAAAAAGCAGATCTACTCTAGTCTTTTGGCCACAACAGGCTTGGACCTTAACTTATAGAAAATTCTCAATTTAGGTGTAGGGTTTTCCGCTTAAAGCACCAGTTTGGCAAATTAAAGAGCAAATAATGATATTTATGTTGTGACCTTGGCTAACAGAAAATTCTAGAAACATGCTACGGCAGTGTGAGCTTCACATTATAACAGACAGCTGATAAAAATCAGCCCCAAAACCAGTCAAAGCCTGTTGGCTGCAAAGAAATGGGAACTAGAATCTGCCATTATGATCATGATCAGTGCATCTCTAACATCATCTTATTTTATTCTATTTTTACCAATTACTTATTTCTTAAAAAAAGCTTCTGCAAAAACTTGTCTTTCAGAAAGTTCACCAAACAAAACATCATGAAACAACTGGTGTTTGGTGAAAAAGGTACATATTGTGGTTTTATATATATATCAGTATCGTCCACCCATCACTGCCCGTCACAATCAGGCCAGAAGTGACTCGGTCAAGACTGAAACCGACAACCACAAGGCAGTGGAGTCAATCTGACGCACCAAACAAACCCTGAGAGAATCATGGGACGTGTTGTATGAGCCAGTGTGCCTCTGTTAGAGGCAGGGCGATGTTGCACTAATCTAATTTTCTACTGGGTCACGCAGCAGAGCTGCTTCCCCCTGTGGTGATACGCCAAGACCCATCCACCAGCACCAGCTGCTGCCGGCTCCTTTTGGCACATAGGATGCTCAAGGGAGTGCGTGTTGGGGTGTGTGAGGCACATGTGACGACATGCTTCAGTTCAGGTAGGGACGTTCACAACAGCACGGATCACTATTTGATAGGAACAACTCTTTGATAGAAATAACACTCTTTGCATGATTAAAGGGTTCTTTGCATTGTGAAAGCGCTCTTTAGACTGCGAAGTGCTGTTAGACAGTTCTATATACAACCTTTTTAAAAAAAAGGGTTCCATAAAGCACCAAGAAGGGTTCTGATATTGTTATGTCAAGCCTAGAACAATAGAACCACCCTTTTTGGTGCTAAACAGAACCATCTACAGCACATTCTCCACCAATCTGAAGAACAATTTCACCATGCAAAGAACCCTTGAATCATGCAAGGAGTTCTTTGAGTGTTCATGGTTCTATACAGAACCATTTTCTTTACTAAAGAACCTTTTGAAGAACCATCTTTAAATGTGTACCTAGTACACAGGGTAAGTGCTCTTCCACACCTGTGTGCAAGGCTGACTGGAACACAGCCAGGCTGCACTTTCTCCGTTCGCCCCTGTGATGCTGTGAGTCTTCGCATTTGCTTTAAAAGAGTCACATCCTGTAGCCAACAGGTCCCCTTTAGAGAGATTAAGCAGGTCAGCAGCCCCTCGGGCGATGAAACATTTACATTTCCGCCGCCGACTGTCAGTTTCTGGATGAACGGAGTCGTATAAAAGCTGTCCATATGCAGAGGATGCTGCATCGCCCTGCTCAGCTAAGCGCACGTACAGAGACCATCAATGGAAAGCAGGTTAAGTAAAGATTCAGCGGATGCGATAGGCTCCTTCCGTCCGCTGTGCTCCCTACTGGGAGATGATGGGGGCTTTTTTTTCTGAGGCTGGGTCATGTGATCACTCAGTAGTCCCACAGGGTTTAGGAGGAGGGGGTTAGTGTATTCAAAGGCTTCATATTCAAAGCCCTGAAAGATCAGCTCTGCTTCAGAGGAACATTAAAACCAGGACATTCCTGCTGCCTGAAGAAGAGTCCAGTGAAGTATGCACAGACACTAATGCTCACAGGGCTGCTATTCAGTGATGCCCCAACTATAGTACTAGGACTGGATTAACATTGGCACTATTAAATGGCTAGGGATGTACACAGGTACTTAAAGGGGGATTCCATCAATGTTTCAAGGTTTCTGAATAATTCAGTCCTTGAGACGGAAACAGAGCCATTCAGGGTGGTTTGATGTGAAGTGGTTGACTGTAGAGACTCAGATGTCTTTACAGTGGTGGTGATAGGAACCAGGGATCACCATGACTACAACACAAATATAGACATTTTATTTCATATCCAAAACCACCAGTGAACCTACACGAGTCTTCTGAGCTTTATATGGAATGTCAATCATGATAAAATAGTCACTAATCTGAAAAAATATGTGGAATATGTGAATGGATAAAAACGACTGTATTGAAGGACATTTTAAGCCAAAACTTTACCACAAAACTATCATAAAACAATGTGTGAGACATCAGGCAGTGAATTCATAACCATTTAATGTACTGTAACTTTCTGTGAGGGAGCTTTTAGAGGTGGACGTCTGGTTCCTATCACCACCACTGTGAACAATTCTGACTCGGCAAGTTTCTCTAGAACAGAACATTTCACACCAAACCACTCTGAACGACTCTGTTTACATTTCAATCAGTTAATTATGCAGATTTTTTGAAAAATTGGTGGAGTGTCCCTTTAAGTATCAAGTAAGCATACATTTTTTTCAAGGCTTACACATAATCTTGTCTGCCAAACAGCAAAGTGGCACTATAGCTAAACTCTAACTGGCTACTGCAGGTCCACTGCAATCCAGAAATAGGATTAGGTGGAGATGAGAGTTCTAGATAAATGAATCACATAAGAAATCAAATATTTGATGCTGCAGTCGGTCACTGCCAGAGAAAGTATGGACAACAAAAGCTGCATGTAACAGCAATGTAAGCACTATTTAAAAAATAATAATGAAAAAAAACAACTTTCTCCTTTTATTTCCTATAAAATGCAAACTGAAAAATAGCTTCTGTGGCGACTTGCGTCATCTGCGAAGACTCTGAAGAGACTGCCTTGGATTTGCATATAATGCAAGGAAATCAGAGCAGACGCAAATCGGATTTCCGTCTGTCTAACCAAGGTGCATTTATGCAGCCAAATTTAAACACACTGGACGTAATCTGGACATTATATAAATTTAAGATGCATAAAGTGGCTTAGTCACGGTCTTAGACAACAGAGGATTTAACAGACCTTTGAAAACAATATACTTTAAAAATGTGAACAATCCCAAAAAGAACGCTGGTATATGATGATCTCGAATTGGTACATTAACCTCTATAGTATATTTATCTGCATTCTAATATGCACAGGATTAGGATTACACTGTGATTCAACACCTAGAACTAAAACCAGCAACACGTCAATTGTAAGTGCCTTTACAGAGCACTGGTATCGGACTGGTACTGCATAATGGTGAAAAAATGTCAATAAAGTACTGAAAAGTCTGAAAAATGAATTTTCGAATGGTAACCTGAAATCTTTTCCAAGCATTTCGTTTACCATCTTTTGTGGAAACCACTGTCGGTGACAAAACTAGGCATCTTGGGTAAAACCTATTAGAGTAAAATGGGTGGAGAAGGGGCGGGGCTTATGCTATTCGCACAGAATCAGTTTTACGTGGGTCTTTTAAAGGGAAGGAAGAACTCACTCCGGTGCTCATGAATTCATGTGTTTGCAGTCACTGCTTTTAAAGCAAAAGGTGAAGCAGTTCACTAAAAGATGCTGCATTACTCAGTACTGCTTTACTTAGTTTATGTTTTTCAGTAAAGACTTTTATTTCACTGAATCAGTTCATTTAATTTAATATAATCATTTAAGCTAGAAATCACAAAAAGTAAGCCTGAGGTGCAGCAGACCATGTATGTATGCTTTCACATGCAAACGTGTGCACTCACCTTGACTGGATGGCTAGATAAATGGTGCGACGGAAAGCGACCAAGTTCACCTCCGTCTTGTCGAAAATAGTGACTTTCTCTTGGTCTAAATAAAGAGAAAGGAGACACATGGTCAATATCAGCACAGGCATGAGCAGAAGCAGCAGCAGCGCTGGCTCTGAAGCTCCGGTCATATGATCCCTTTCCGGAGGTCAATAGCACTTGTTCCTGGCGTAGGATTATTTTTACACCTCACAACCTGCTGTGAAGGAGCCCTTCCCCATTGAAGCAATTAACACGGCTAAGCTCTGTCTCATCACAGAGCGAGACGATCCATAGGAGCTGGGGGGCGCTACTGCTTTTTGCTGCCCTTCACACTGTGTGAACATTTTATTATGAGTGGTATGTATATATATATATATAAATATAAATGCTTTAAAGTGATTTGAAATAAAATCTTGTTGCATTAATATACAGCACATTTAAGAAAGGTCTGGTTACAGTACAGCACCCCACCGCGACCCAGAAGGATAAGCGGTTTAGATGATGTATGTATGTATGGTTACAGTACATATACATGTTCTATATGTAAAAAAACTCATATCTCCAAAATGGTAACTATACAGCAGAAGGGAAAACATACTTTACTTTTAATGTAAATTAATGGAACCAGACTCTATATATATATGACACGTCCCTACACACACATGCTGAGAATGATGCTATGAGATGCATGTTATAAAGTAGTCTCATCAGCTATTACTCCCATCAGGACTCAAGCAGCCACTCAGCATTGATTCTGAAAGGCTAAAACTAAAGTTAACATTGAGATGTGGCCTTACAGCTTAAATATTTTGTTTACTATTATACTGGCATTAAATTGGGTTTATATATTTTTATATCTTCTTCTGAATCTTCTAAGAAGATGACTTGTTCCAGTTATCCCTGTAACATTTTGGGAGTTAAAAACAAAAACAAACAAACAAATAAATAAACAAATGTTAATTATATACTCAGACAAACACAACTCCGACAGAGGTTCACGGGATGAGTAACTCAGTATGATTACAGGCGTGGCGTTGGCTCATTAAAACCAGAAAAAAAAAAACAGACGGACAAAAATATAGCTTGTGCTTATCATTTATAATCCTTTATCCTTGCTCGATTTTTCTTTCCTTTTTGGGAGGAGGGGAATTACAGGAGATCAATGTCTGCCTCTTAAATTACCATCTGAATTAGATGGATTAGATTTAGATTTCAGAACCCATCTGTCTGCATCTTTTTATAGCCTTCACCTCAACCAATAGAAAAGGGTTACTATGGAAAGGTGCTCTCTGTACACTGTGTGAGGAACAACCTTGAACAACTGCAGTTAACCAGACCTGAATCCCAGCCAGAGGAATTACATGGAAAGTATCAGCTAGGATTCTCAACTCAATCTCTATCCATCCATACACCCCCCCCCCTAACCTTAAGGTCAACCTTTGGTACATAAACCCCAAAAAAAAAAAAGAAAGAAAATGTCTAACCTCTCTTTATTCCCTAGTTTTTGTTATTGCACCTGACAGATGTAAAAAAGCTCTGTTCTGATTGGCTACACTATATCTTGTCTCTCGTTCAGTCCAGGCTGAAACACTTCTTATAACTTCCGCATGAATAGGTGGGGCTAAACTGCTGATGGCTGCATTGGAGTATATCTGTATAGGCATTGGTTGTGACATCATAAAAACAGTGAATTCAGAACAGGCTGTTTCTGCAGTGTAAGCTCCTTATATGTATGGGGGAGTGAACAGTATGTATTAAAATGGTATTTATTATACTTAAGAAAAGCAAGAAAAATATGTTTTTACATAATACGCCACTTTAGGGTGTCAGAATGTCCAGTGACAGATTCAGTTCTACAAAAGCAAAGATTCTCCTTTTCCAGTACTCAGCTATTCTGGTTTGTTTCAAATCAAAATAAAAGCTCTTCTCTCACCACTAGTGATAATCTGAAAACCTGCTAAGTCAGGAAAATCAACCCACATGAACACACACACACACACACACACACACACACACACACGCACGCACTTCCTAAGTCACTTATCTTTCTGGGTCGCGGGAGGAGTTGGAGCCTGTATTGGGTGGAAGGCACAAGTGCTTACACACAACAAAAACGTCAAAGGCAGACAATGCCAACAGATACCTTCTCCGGCTTCTCCAGCTTCATCTTCATCATCGTCGTCGTCATCCTCATCATCACTGCCTTCGGCATCTTCACCAGAGTCACTGCTTCCTTCATCCAGAATCTCTGCCAAACAAGTCAAAAACACAGTTGAACAAAGAGTTTCCTTTTTTCCACCATTTCACAAAACAACAAGTAATTCTAATGGTTACAATCAAGAACCCGCTGTGTCAGCGTCTCACACACCGGACAGAACCTTAAAGCTTACTGTACCTAACTAGGACCAGTCATGTAGTCTTGATAAACTGGCCAGTTCACTACAGAAAATATTAGGGACTTTAAGCAACAGCGGCAGCAGAGGGAAATAAGTTGTGCTGAGTTTGAGTCGCTGGTTTCTGGCATTGTAGCCTGCATATATATATATATATATATATATATATATATATATATATATATATATATATATATATATATATATAGATATATAAAAGCAAAACAGAACGTTAGCAATTACAAAGAGTACTCGATTACGTCTTAAAAGGTTTCTTTTCATACAACAAAGTTTCCTAAATTATACTGAGGTAAATTAATTTTGCAATCAATATCTGACCTCAGACACAAGTCTGTTTTCCTCTCATACTGCAGCTGCGCTCGTCATCTCAGCCTGAGCCAAAATTACATCGTTTTAATGTTTTTCTGCCACCTGTGCCAACTAGGACTGAAGGACACATTGTCTGTACCGTGATATAGACACACCATGATGCTGCTTTACATTTTTAGTGATATTTTAGTGATTTACAACATTGTGCTCCTAAGGACATTATTCATCTCTACAATATCTGTGTTTGTGCATGTAAACTCACCATACGTCATTAGAATAGATGCAAACAAACAGCAAAAAGTAACACAAATGTCTAATTGTGAAATAAAAAAAATACATGAAAAGAATTTATTTGGATATGTTGCGAGTTAGTCTGAAGAACAAAGTTTGGTTTCAGATTTCGCATAGGTGTCCTCAGCCACTGTATGGATTTCTTAATTTTAATCAGCAGAACACCTGATTTAACATAATGAAGCACTGATTAGATAAAACAAGTGTTGGATAATAACATTTGGAAATGGTTAAATGAAGACATTTACAGACATAAAATTGCCACTTATTAATATTATTTACATTTAATATAATATTGGTGATTTTCTAAACAAATAAAAACTTACTACCCAAATTAATAGCTTTTTATTTCTTATTTTCTCAGGTGTGTAAAACGTCTGCACAGTACTTTATATTTGATAAATAACAAGCATTATATCACAGATACACTTGTGTAATTTTAAGAGAAGTACTGAGTAGCAGTACTGAGGAAGCCTGGGTTCAGTATTTATTCACGTTGACTTAATTGTCATCTGATATCGTGATACCATAATATATTTGGAAAGTATCATGACAGTAAATTTAATACAATTTTAGCCAGCACTAGAACCAACAAAGTGTGATGTAATGTCACTGTCCCTCTGTCGCTGGGAGATCAATCCCATCTCTCTTTGTTTGGTACAGAACTGATTAAATCACTGGTCTGTTTTTTCCTCACTTTGTTCTCCAAAATGGTGTTGATGGTGAAGATTGTGATTAAATAAAGTTCTAGAATGATGCAACAATATTAAAAATAAATAAATAAATAAATAAATAAATAAATAAATGAATGAATGAATGAACAGCCAAACGTTACTGTTCCCCTTTAACAATTCCCAATTCATATCTTGCAAACAGCATTAAAGCGCAGTTGTCTTTATTTTTTTAAACTTACCCTTTTTAATTGCCTTGTACTTCTCTTCATTCTCCAAGAAGTCAGGATCCATCTTGAAGACATCTGTTTAAAAAAAACAGAAAAATAAATATATAAATAAAGGAACGGTTTGTGTTGAAACAGCAGCCATTCGCTTGCAATTTTACAGCAATTAAGTCACTCGCCAGCTAGATGTAATCTGAGGCAATTACCCATAAAGAAGAATTCGCTGTGTATTAGCCGTAATTCATAAAACAGCCGTAATGCGATAATGACTGTTCTCGCACCCCAAAGGCCCGCTTGGTGTAGCTTTTCAATTACAGCCGATTGTCTCCACCGCCTGGGAAAAGGAGCTCACGCGCAGGCTGAACAAACAGGAGTAAGCAGAAACAGAGGCGTAAAAGTCGTAATTGAAAACGCAAAAGCCTCCAATTACACACGCAGAGCGGAGATTTCATTCTGCTGCTGGAGAGCTCTCTACTGGGTGGGTTTAGACTGGGGATAAAGTCATCCACTATAATTGCAGGAGGATAATTAGCTGCTGAACGCTGGAGACCGGAGGCAAACAGGTCAGGTGAGCAGAGCAGTCAATTTACCTTTTAGCTTCCACACTTTGCTACTGCGAGGAGTGGATATAGTCATGAAACCCAAGTATTGACTGAACATAATGGTTCTCAAGCTCAGTTTCTGAAGCCCACAGCACCACATAGCTGTCTTTCCTGTCAGGGATCCAGACGAAAAAACTGCTTCAGGAGCCACTGGCTCCTAAAAGAAAATCAGATGCTAACAGCTTCTTTAAGTGCCAGGTAATTATGCAAAAAAATGAAGCTTTTCAATACACCTCAGATCAGCTCTGTGATTTAATTATCTCTGCCTTCCGCCGCACACGTTATCAGACGTTATCAGAAATGTCCATTCCTTTTTTTTCCCCCATTAACAAGACTTGTGAGGTGAGTTTGGTGAAGGGCAGTTCCTCGCATGGTGTCATGTAGGCTGTGTTGAGTTCATTTTAACCTCTTCAACTCCTTGAGACCACCGGTGGTTCCAAAACACACTTCGTCATATTCTTAACTTTCCTATTTCATAAGCTACATTCTAAAGGTGGGGGTCGTATGAGAGCTGTAACTGTCTCCTTTCCAGTCAAATAGATGGGTGATGTGATTTTAAACCCTTATAATAAAAGAAGCTGAACTCACAATTTTTTTTTTTTTCCTGAAAGTCGACCCATTTTTCCACAAATCTGGGCTATAAACTATAAACAGATGGCGTCTCTTCAGTGATCTGCTCTGTAAACATTATTTTTATAAAATAATACAAAGAGCGTCTAAGATTTTTGGCTTTCAGGAGTAAATTGTAATAATATAGCAATATGTGTGATCATAAAACACATTTTCACTTAATTTGAGGGGAACTTCAAAAAATAATAATAAATTAAAAATTTACATTTATTTAATGCAGTTACTGAATAATTTCCCTAACGATTTGGTCATGTAAAGATGGAAAAACCAAAATATACCCTGGAGAATAAGAGGCTAAGCTCTTTAAATTGTAATTGCGATAATGAAATTGTGTGGATTTCTTTGCTTTTGACTCTCACCATGTTTTTACACAGTGTGTTTTTTTTAATGATTTGTTCCGTTTCCAAATCCATTATCCCAGCTGTGTCTTTGATTGCTTTCGAACAGAGTTTGCAGTACAGTCTGCTTTACCTGAGCCACGGAAATTCCTGAAGCTGAGAAGTTCTGAAATCTTTCTGTGGTTGTACTTAAAGTGCATAAAGTGCCTTAAGTGGACGGTTGTTCAGGTACATCTTTGTGTGTGTCTTCCACTAGTTTACTGGTCTTAACTGAGTCAGCCTGGGGTTGAGCAGACGACCTCTTAAGGTCTGAGACAAACATACGAAGTAAAAAAAAAACAAAAAAAACGCACAGACGTTCACTGCAAAAAGCTCAGCTCGGCACAGCACAGCTGCTTTGTTTGTCAAATTTTGCTGCTCTGGTTGAAATCGTGCCAGCACAGCGGGCGTTTTTTTGATAGGTAATCGTGTCCATGTGACACTAAAGCCTATCAGTTACGTTTTTAGATGAAAAATGATAAAAGAAAATACATAAAACAAAAAAAAGCAGAAACTGAACTACAAATCTGGTAAATTACTCAACCAGGGATTTCCTGATACCGGATACATCGGGGTTGTGTGGTTAAAAGTGCAGAACTAAATTAGAAACATTTCGGAAATGACATCAGGGCATGAAATGTTTGTCCGAACCCAACGGGACCCAACTGCTCATGCCCGGTTCGGACATCTCCTCTCAAATACGTGTCGAGCTCGGGTTGGGTTTAAATTCACGTTCGGGTTCTCACAGCCCACCTGCCACTTTTAACAGACTTTACCCTTCATCTCCTCCTGCTTTAGTCTTACTCCTTACTGTATTCTTCACTACTTTAAATCGGTTTGTATTCTGGTACACTGACGTATACTTGGCCTGTGTTTGAGAGAAAACTGCACATAATTCAGGATAGTATTGTGCAGTGCAGCCAAAATAGCATACACTCCTGATCAAAATCTTAAGACCAGTTAAAAAATTGCAAGAATTTTCACTTTGCACTATTGGATCTTAAGAAGGTTCTAAGTAGAGCTTCACAATGCTAAAAGAAGAAACAGGAGCAAGAGACAAAAGATTTTGAGCAGCCAATTTATTAAAAACAACAAGTTAACTGAAATAGGCTGTTCATCAGCTGATCAAAAGTTTAAGACCACGGCCTTTAAAAGCCAAAATCTGCACGAAATTTGGATTCCAATTCATTTTTTGTCAAGAATTCATACTGGCAAGACTTCCTAATGGCAAAAGCAAAAAAGCTCACTGACTTTGAACGGGGCAGGACCGTTGAGCTGCATAAGCAAGGCCTCTCACAACGTGCCATCGCTGCTGAGGTTGGACGCAGTAAGACAGTCATTCTGCATTTTTTAAAAGATCCTGAGGCTTATGGAACAAAAAAGTCAAGTGGCAGACCCAAAAACATTTCACCGGCACTGAGCCGCAGGATCCGATTGGCTGTTCGTCAAGACACGGGCCGATCCTCGACCCAAATTAAGGCCATTACTGGTGCTGACTGCAACTCAATAACCATCAGACGGCATCTGCGAGGGAAGGGCTTCAGAAACAAAAAATGTCTTCAAAGGCTACGTCTCCTTCAACGCCACAAAATTGCCCGTTTGGACTTGGAATTAACCTTGATGGTCCTGATGGCTTCCAACGTTACTGGCATGACAAGGAAATCCCTGATGACGGAGGGCCCTCGTCTGTGTGTTAATGACTGGGTTTTTCAACAGGACAATGCTGCAGTTCACAATGCCCGACTGACAAAGGACTTCTTCCAGGAGAATAACGTCACTCTTTTGGACCATCCTGCGTGTTCCCCAGATCTAAATCCGATTGAGAACATTTGGGGATGGATGGCAAGGGAAGTTTACAAAAATGGACATCAGTCCCAGACAGTGGATGCCCTTCGTGAAGCCATCTTCAACACCTGGAGCAACATTCCCACTAGCCTCCTGGAAACACTTGCATCAAGCATGCCTAAACGATTGTTTGAAGTGATCAACCACAATGGTGGACCAACTCACTACTGAGTCCTTTTTTTGACATTTCAATTTTTGTTTTTGGGGGGTTTTCGGGTTTTTTTGAGACATGGTCTTAAACATTTGATCAGCTGATGAACAGCCTATTTCAGTTAACTTGTTGTTTTTAATAAATTGGCTGCTCAAAATCTTTTGTCTCTTGCTCCTGTTTCTTCTTTTAGCATTGTGAAGCTCTACTTAGAACCTTCTTAAGATCCAACAGTGCAAAGTGAAAATTCTTGCAATTTTTTAACTGGTCTTAAGATTTTGATCAGGAGTGTATAATTTTTTTTTGGCCAAAATATTTGTATATGTTTAATGTGCAGAAATAAAGTTTTAGTACAACAAGGCAGTATGGGAAGGTCATCTAGGCTTTTATTCTAATCTAACTTCATTTTTAATTTAATTTTTGTAACTATCCTAATTTAATGTCTAATTTGATTTTTAATTTAATAATTTTCTCTTTCAAATTCATTGTTTTAATCATGTTTTACTCATGTTGCTAGACCATGTTATAGCGTACTATTTTATATTATTTTTTGTTTTATTGGTCTGCGATCTAAAGATGGCTATATTTGTTATTACATATTAACCAGCGACATATTTTTGATGAGACTTTTCAGGTCATTTACAGACAGAACTTAGTTGTACCCAGGTTCTGATGTATTCTTGAGACTTAAAAATATATCTGCCAGGCGAGTTTAAAGCTCTAAATGAGGCCTCTGCACTGCAGAACACACTCTCCGTAAATGTCTTCCACACACCAGGATTTTTTCAAACTTCAGGAAAACTAACCGCCCCCTGGCTGATTCACCATCACCTGACTATTAAACACGTTGCTTGGTAGAGCTGTGATTTGGTACGTGACAGAGAGACAGCTCTTACTCAGTATGTCTTCCGGGTTGTATTCGTCCTCTAGGGGGAGCATGTGAGTGAACTGGTCTTCTTCCTCCACCAGGTCTAAACCCTCAGGGATGATGGGGTGGTCTTTAAAACCGTCCTTCCGGATTGCAAACATCACCTCGATCATGTACTGCACGCGCTTATCAATCTCCGACTCGTGGAGGATGTTCCTCAGTCGCTCGAAGATGGCTGTGGACAAAACGACAAAAAAGCATGAACAATTAAACCAATTAAATTCAATCAAATGCAGTTAATTCCAGTTTATAAAAGGAGGCTCAAACAAATCTTTAGCTTCTTGTGAAGTGGGGCAGAGCAAAATAAAGTATACTAAATACAGTACGAATATTAAATAATTAAAACAAACAAATAAATAGCAACATAAATTGTGCAACAGCAGTATCAAATGTGCATGAACCAAAAAAAAGCAAACAACCTTCAACATAAAAAATTACTGACAATATAAAGTATCTGTTGGAAAATAAGAACCTAATTCAAACTGCATCTTTAAACCATAATTTACTGAATTTACAGGGACGAGAGGTTAAATGAATATAGTTCTTCAAGGTAAGAGCAGTTCACCAATATTACGTTGGCAGCCGACAAACTGAAGAGGTTTCACAGCAGCCTGGGAATTATACAATAAATTATTCATGTAAGTTATGTCACTTTAATCAACGGCCAACATGAAGGTCAGCTGCAAGCCTACCCTGCTACTTTCAGTGCTGAAGAAAACCCAGCTGGAGTTCAATTAGCGCTGCATTCAAGGTGCAAATCTAACGGCCACTGAATGTGTTATACTTGGGAAAACGGCATAAATTTGGTTTCCTCCTGATTAAGAACCAGCCTGAGGCCATTAAGTTAAAGCCCTCCTGTAAAAAGAGAGTGACATGATTCAATAGGACAACAGAACAAGGGCTATAAATGAGACTAATGACGTCTTTCACATCTAATATTAATAAGAATCCACTGTTCGATTGCCTCTCAGCTCCACTGCAAAAACAGAATAAGTGAATTTCAGACTAGCGGAGCACTAGGGGTGCGGGAAAAAAAAAAATCGATTCTTAGATGCATCGCGATGCGGACGTGAACAATTCTGAATTGATTCACAAATGTCAAAAATCGATTTTCTAAATATTTAATTTACAGCGTAATGTTGACGGAACGCAAAGGGCGGAACTTGGAAATGGGTAAGTGCAGCGCCTGGACAGTCTGCGGCGGCACATAACAAAAACACAACTGGATGAGTGAGAAATCCGACCGGCTCCCTCTGCATTAAAGCCAGGTTAGATCAGGAGTCACAGCACAAATGATAAGAAGAGCCATTTTGACCTTTCAACAAAAATCAAACCACCCTGGGAGCCGCAACATTTAATGTCCAGTATGTGTCAGTGTGTGATAATGTCCTAATATAAACTAAACAATATAAACGAAAACACAGATTTACTTCGCTCTGCTTTAAGCTTTAGCGTTAGCTACAGCCGCTTTCCTCTCCGCCAGAAAACTCTTCCTCAAACGTTGAATAGTTTCTTGTAAAATGTCTTTCAGCTTTCGGCTGTTTTACGAGGCTGAAGTCGCTTCTCACTCGCCAGCTTCTTGCTGAACTTTCCCGTTCCACCTTAAATTCTGACTGAGTGTAAATGCGGCACCATTTAAGGTGGAACGGGAAAATTAGACAAAGAAGCGACTTCATCTTCGCAACTTTTTAGTTAGTGTTGGACAGTCTCTCACTGCAGATTTAACGTACCAGGAAACCAAATGCAAATAAGTCCATTTATCTCCAAATGTTCGTCTGTCTCTCTTTTTGTCTTTCGTTCGCTACTCGCTTGGCGAAACCTCGTTGCTACGTAAGAAACGCCAGTTCTCAGTTATTACGAAACAGGGCTTTCGCGCTCTCCCCGGTGTTTCCATAGTGTTGTGCCCTTTAATACTTAACAGTAATTATGTAAATACATAAACAATGATTACAAATCGATTGTCTACTTTAGTTCAAACGGTGAAACAGTTCCACATGGTTGATATTTTCACTGCTGATCTGCTGCTGCTCAAACTGTTTAAACACGTCTGTGCTGACCAAAAGAAAACAAACAGCATATTTTTCGTTTTCTTTTCCATTTAAATTAGTCGTAGTCTTAGATTGTTTCATTGTAGGCCTATTTAGTCTTTTACAGACACGTCTTACCTGTTTGTCCACACTTGGGTTAACAGGGTGAAACTGTGTGAATCTGATTCTTGACAAAACTACCGTTTTAAAAACACGGTTATGGACGTACCGTTGATGCCGCGAGGCGAAACCTCAGTGAGTTTGAGGCCGCACTCCTTCAGAAAGCTGATGGACACCTCCACACTGTCATCAGTGGGTCGCTCCAGCAGCAGAGTCAGCATCTCCAGGCAAAGAACCTCATGAGCCTTGTTAGCAAACCATACGAACAACAAGGTCAGGTTTTCACACTCAGAGATTAACCCTTGTGTGGTGTTGATGTGTTTGTTACTCAGTGGTCTGGTGGACCCACCACATTATTGCTTTTAAATCAATACAGCGTGTCCAGTGTAGGGTTCTCCTTTAGCAGCTGTAGCCAGTCAGCAGCCTGTCCATGTTGTCCACCCTCACACACAGACAGACACTAACAGCAGGCCATGTAGGAGGAGAACAGAGTGAAGGACACAGCACCTCCACACCTTTACTCCCCGCAGGTTCACCCAACACCACATGTGTAATATAAGTGTGTGGGGGGTGAACAGAGTGAAGACACTGAAAATGGGTTATTTCATATGTTCTTCACAGAAAATGAGGAAAGGACAAGAATCTGAGGTTGAAATGATAATAAATCATATCATTTTTTCTTTTGGTAAACACTGAAAATGGGTCCCACAGACCTGAACACCACACAAGGGTTAAGTCACACCTCTTACCCATCTTAGTAAAAGCTACAACGATCTGTAATTTATTTAATCAAAAAAAGTCACTGTAAGCCACTTTACTACGTGCACTCAAATATATAATTTGTAATATTCCAATGAAATTTGTTTCATTTTTATTTTTATTTAAGAACAAGAAGCACGTACCACATTCTGATTGATGAGATGGGCCACAAACTTGGAGGCTGTGAGGCACTGTTGCTGTAAAACAAGAACAAGAAAATGATCAACTTTTCTACCGTCAGGTCCTGGAGCAGCTCAGCTATGCAGGAGTTTAATTCTCAGAAGACGCTTCGAAGTCGTCAACATGACCAGCAGGAACAGAAGCAGAGTGTAATTTTATATGACATAGTTCCTTGAAACAATGAGAGAAATCGTGTGGAGATTCGAAACTTTCAATCCATCCAACCACGCGTGTTTAAAAATGATACACAGTCGTCTGCAAATTTTTGGATGCCCTCCATCCTAATCCAGTTAACGATAAACAATTGTTTAATCAACAAATTAACACATCCTCTACATGAAACTTAAATGTGGCGGTTTCTGATAATTTTAGTGCACAAATTCTGTTTTTTTTTTGTTGATGTTGCTGTTTTGTTTAATCCGTTGGAAAAAACAGAATTGCGCTATAACTTTTGCATGGGCCACAATTTTATGCCTCCAGATAACAGTACAGGGCAGCCAATTGGATAAGAGCTCAATTACATATATGAGTCTTAAAGGCACAGTAACAAAAACAGCCTGTTTAATTCTAAGGGAAAAAGAGAGGCTGGAAAATAGTCACGCAAAAATGAACTACAACCGTAAATTAACTAGGGCTGAACGATTCAATTTTTTAACTTTTTTTTTATTTTTTATTACAAAATGTAGAAGAACGCTATATTCAAATAAAAAAGCTGCATTTATAAATCATATGCAATGTTAATCAAGGTTATCTAAACCAATTAAATTCAAATTTAAGCTAATAACGCAGAGCTCATGACCAGGCAGTCTGGCAAATTATATTCAGCTGTAAAAGCCTCAAGCCCTGCAAATGTATGTGCTGTTCTTGGCCATAAATAACAGACTTGAAGCTTTATTTGCAGAAACTGTTTTGCTTTAAAGTTGACACTACAATTCTGGTCAGAAAAATTGTAATTAGATATTTTCCCCAAATTGCTCAGCCCTAACATAAACCCATACAAATATTATAAGTGGACAAGACTATGGGCAGAACATGGGCCCTTCAAGTTCTGGACGAAGCCATCAGAGCACAGTATCTAAACAGAATCGGTCGTCTCATTCTGCATGGGTTCAACAGCAATCAGTGCAACTACAGTGAATAAATGTTTGACAGTTTAAACCTCAACAGTGTGCTTTACATGGTAGCCTTCAGATCCCTACTTAAGTATCTCATAAAATATATATAACATGCAGAACCTGCTTTGTAAGTCATATTTAGACATTTATGATTCCTTAAGAGCACTGCTTCATATTGCTGATCTAAACATTCAGAAATTCATAATTCAGTCATAAATCTAGGAGCATGTATGAGTGACATCTGCAGGTGTTTTATAGTTTCAGCCCTGAACTTAAAACTACACGCTGTGCAGCTCTGAAGAATACAGACTTAATACAGACGCAGCTTCAATGTATTTCATTCAGGAGACTGCAGGAGGGAAAAAAGCTCTGAAAGCTGATTTAATCAAGTAACTGTGATTGAGATTCTTGTCTGCATTAGTGTTCAGAGTTTTCAGAGTCCAGAAATTTCAATCACAATTACTTGATTAACCTTCATGGAAAAAGTAAAAGCAATTAAATAAAAGGCACCTCAGTCAGCAGTGATTAGTGGTCAGTCTGCAGGACGGCGCATATTATTAATTGTCCTACTGATCTCTTACAGTAAAAGCAGAGCCTGACGGACAATCATTTAACTGAACGTCGTTTCCATATATTTTTAATGATGTCACTCTAAATGCTTCTATTTTAAAGTCATAAATTTGGAATCTCAACATTTTTGTCTGTTATTGTTCGGTCAAGTTGATTTTTATTGTTAGACCTTTTTTTAAAAAACTCAAAATAATTTGAATACTCTATTAGTGACCACCCTAATCCAATGTAATACTTGTTTTTATTTATATGCATTCGCTGCAGCAAAGGGCCGGTTTCCCAGACTGGGATTAGGCCTAGTCCTAAAATGCACAGGATTCTGAATGGAGTTTTCCACTGAAAGGAAAATGACATGACTAGGCTTAATCCCTGTCGGGGGTTCTTCTAATATCTTAACACTTTTAAAGCCTGAACATGAATCAAATAATCAGAATCATAATTTTTCTTCCTTAATGTGACAATTTTGAGTGAAACAGGATATGAGTTTATTCCTGAGGGTTTAACTGAATTGGGAAAAATAAGCATTTCGAAATGAAGAGTCAGACAAATCCGTCTGTTTTGCTTTGCTATTATACACACACACATACACACACACACACACACACACACACACACACACACACACCAAACAGATTTTGTCAGAATAACGTGTACATTACTATATTACTAATACACATCAACAGTGACAGCCTAGACTAGTCTCAGTGATCGACACTCTCAGTGAAGTTTACCTTGTCGTTCCTCCTGTAGCCTTTGCGGAAGTTGAGTATGAGCCTCTTCAGGATGAGTTCTCCGATCTGAGGGAACTTGGAGTTGATGATGGCCACCACGGCCGCGTAGACGTGTGTGAAGATGGGAGAGGCGCTCTGGGCCTGAAGGACGGACCTCGCTAGCAGACCCCTGAAACACGGAGAGATCTTTAGTACTGTACAGTGTAAACGCACTGTACTATTTAAAAACAAATACAAAATTTAGCTTGTCTTCATCTAACCCAAACATATACAAATACACAAGGCAACACAGGTGGAGGGAACAAAATAAATAAAACTATCAATACACAGATACAAGGCATTCAAAAACATTAACATGTATTAAGCCAACTGTTAGACTCCCAGATTACCAAAACACACTTCTGACAAATGTTCTGCGTTCAGAAATAAGAATATCTACTAAATGCATGGAATGTCCATTTATCTACTTCACAATACTGTTTTTTCTTCAGTACAAAAAATTTAAATGAAATGAACAAAGACTGAAGTGCAAACTCAAGTTATGCTCTTACAGAGGAACAATATGCAGCCAGAAGAAATCAATCATAAAACATTAAGATGTGATATCGCAATATCTATGCTGCAACAGAACTGTATGGTGGTACAAACATCTTGATTTAGTATTGCGAGGTCTAACCCTTCTGAAATAAGCAGTGAAACTGTGAAAAGTGCAGATTCTAAACTTTCAATCCATACCACGCTGTGTTTGTTAGCAGAAGAGCAGCGGTTTCTTTACCTGCCCCTCACGATGTTCTCCTGCAGCAGCTCTTGGAGGATGTTGGCGATGTTGGAGACGTTCACCTTGTTGATGAGACCGTTGATGGACTTCTTCAGGGCCTCCCAGCTCATTCTCTGGTACGCCAGGCTGCATAAGAAGAGAAAATGATGAGTGGGGGGAAAAAACTTTGAATAGAGACAACAGAATTTATCTTAGTGGTGCAGTTTCAGTTTCAGTTTCCCAAATGCTTTAGCCGAGCGCGCCAACGTTATTCCTCCTAAACAGACACGTTCAGCTCTGTCTCCTCATTATTCGCCACCATCACTGTAATATTTTATCATCAACATTAACACACGAAGGTAATAAGAGTAGATAAATGTAGCGTCATTATGTCAGTTATAGTGAACTGTGCTGCCTGTCACTGTATAAAACAAAGGAATCAGACAGTTAAAACAGAAGTTGAGACACTTCTGGGTTTTATCTTAAAGTTCAGACAGTATTTAGGAGGTTTAGTCTAGTTAGGATGTTTGTGTAATACTGTTTTCTTATCTGGAGTTAATGGATCAGATTATGAACTTAAGAACTGTTGTTCTGTAAAAGCTTCTGTCCTGAATTCAGTCCTAACTAAAGTTGTCATGGTGATTAAACAGATAAGATTTCAGACTTAAGATGTTTCTGTAATACGGCCCCTGGAGTCCAAAAGATGACTATCCACTCTCTGGGTGGGCTCAGCACGATGCTGCCGAACACAGGTGTCTGTTAACAGACAGGTAGTCAGTGTTCTAGAGGTCCTCATGTATGTAAGTTAACTATTGAGGTGTCAGTATTCGAACACTGAAATCACCATTCAGGAATATCAAAATGAGTCGGAATGTTTCTAATTGTAATTATATTTTTAAAAAGTAGCAGCTTTTCATCATCAGCCTGTAAAATGTCTCCAGACAGGGTGCAGGATCCAATAAGACTGAGGACGTTTTCCTGAATTACAATCTCTAATTTCACACCGGAAAGTCACACCATCACCACCACAGAAGTCCAGTAACAGATCATATTTACAGTCTTAACAAGCAAAATCTGTTGACGCAGCAATAAGCTTAAATTTCTACATCTCCTTTTATTACCCTGTAACAGACACCGGATAGGGCTCGCTTTAAAGGGCACGATTTACAGCCCCTCAAAGTCAAAGTGCTGACTGTGAGCTCCTGTCGAGCAAATCAGACCACCGCTGGTTCTATTCCCTCCATCGCTGCCCTCTAGAAAACTTCTGGTACTTCTTTTTGAACTTACACTGAACAGACAAATGACAGAAAATCTATATACAGTAGTGGAACATGTGCAATAAAATCAATACAGCAAATATAGATTGTCTTTGGATTTTTACATTGAAAAATAACCTGGGAATTTTATTTTGGGTGAAAAATGAGCTGATATTTTATTTTTTGACTATATTTACAACCAACTATAACAGATTTCAACATTACAAAATCAACTGACTCCTTCAGATACCCTTACATCCCTACTTATCAGAATATTCACCCTTAATTGTTGATTATCGATTATTATATGTATGCTTAAATATACATATGTAAAAAAAGGAATGGGCAATACAGCAACATTATCACAATACATGTTATGTGGCAAAATTTATTTTTGTCTGACATCTGTTAATTTGGAATGGACAAAAAACAGAACCAGTGGTGCCACATATGCCCCAAGATTTCTGACAGCAAATGTATTTAATGTTTCACATACTGCACTTTATCCAAATAAAGAGGCAATACAATATATATATATATGTGTGTGTGTGTGTATATATACATATATATATATATATACACACACACACACACACACACATATACACACACACACACATTTCTCTAAAATCTAACATTAGCTAGCTAACGGTCCGCTGTTCTGTGCTGTTGTGAATAAACTTTCCCCCCGGTCAGGAAACAAAAGGCACACATCGCCACCTTGTGTTCAAAAGTAGCAATCGATACAATTTCAGGCCTTTGCTGTTTTGGACTGTGGAACAAAAGGGCATAATCAAAAATTACCAAAATAAAAAGTTACTTCTATATTTTCTATAATTAACATTATCCTTTTATGGCTCAGACTTCGCTGGAGCCACTTAAAGCCAATTACACCCTGAAGATATGCATACCCTCCAAACCTTGAGGGAGAAACACTACTGTGTCCTTCCTTCTGCAGCATGGGGAACTGAATCAACACCTTCATTGAATTCCTAAATATACCTTCGCTGCTGGCTATATATGACAATCTATTTTCATCCCTCTCCTCTGGAACGGCCCTCGATAGTCACCCGAAAGTCACACCGATTGAATTTAACCTAGATAAGACACTTCTGTATTATCCTTTCACCACATCGATGACGTAACGTATTAAAGGACACGCCTGTTTTTTTTTTTATTTATAGAGTGGAAAAGTCAGTGATTTCTGAACAATGTCCCAAAATATATTAAACAAAATCCAACCTAAATTTAGGCCTAATTCATTGAGTCATTGAGACAGAATCGTCAGAATAGTGACTGTTGGTTCTCATCAGTGATTTTTGACATAAGAACAAGCTGGTGAAACAGCGAATCTCTGCTTAGTAAATGTACCTTTTCAGCGGTCGGCAACACGACAGTCTTTTCCTGTCCTGTTGTGGCTCCACAGCAGAATCAGATTAGTAGGTAAAAATAAAATAATCCTCCTTTACAGTAAAATAAAGCTCTGCTGATCGTTCAACACAGTTTAACAATAAATGGTCTTAAACTCTGGAGTTAATGTAGAACTGCTAATTCACCCTTTAACCCTGAAGATCAGCGCAGACTGCTGGTCACCATAGCAACACAGACAATCTCACCTAGCTAAATTACGGACCCCTGCTGGTGACATCCCATATAAATAACAATAATGCGTGGCCACAACTTATTAACATGTGAGATGCTACTGCATGGCCACGACTTAGTAAGGCGTGCAAACAAGATCATGCCTTATAAAGCCACGGCCACACTTTAGGATATCATTCCCACGCTTGAGTAAGTCGTGGCCAAGCATTAGGATCTTGTTCCCATGCCTTACTAAGTTGTGGCCACGCATTATTTTTATTTATACAGGATGTCACCAGAGGGGCTTCGTACTAAATCACTAGTTAAACACTAAAAAGTCACGAGGCTTCTTGTTCGAATTTTCCTTAAATGGTGCAGCTGTTACATTCTGGCGCCTCAGCCACCATTTAAGGTGGAACGGGGAAATCAGAACAAGATGATGTAAGAAGCGGCTGCATTTTCACGAAGTCTGCATTTTCGTTTATTTTATATTTTTTATCCTATACACTAGAACATCAGCACATACTGGGACATATTTACAGCCAAGATGGTAAAATGGACATAAAATGTTGTGGCTCCCAAGGTGGTTTGATTTTTGCTGAATGGATAAAATGGCTCTTCCTAACATTTGGGTTGCCGATCCCTGATCTAGACAGTAAATCGTAGTAAATCTCATGTATATATTTAAGCAATAAAACACCAGAGGGAGTGTGTAACCGCGAAATAACATCACGGCTGTGATGATCTGCTGCAACCAAATCACAGCTGAGATGTTATTTCGCGATAACACAGGACCTTGAGTGTTCTATTGCTTTTATACAACAGTTAAACAAATAAAGTAGGGAATAAATAAACTGGGTCGTGAACGCAGCGTTTAATATGTTTTAATGTTCGCAGTTCACAGCCGGCAGTTTGTTCTCCAGCTCCACACAGACCAACTGACAGTTTGGGAATTTAGTGTAGTCTCATCTTCAGAGTCTGACCAAATCGGCTGTCGGTCAAATGTGATCTTAAAAGTGTCCGTTTTCTGTTTGTGGCAAAGTAAGAAGTAAAAACGTTCAAAGGGCTTCGGCGTCTCCTACAGCTGTCAAAGTCGTTGCTTAGTGATACAGTGTTTGTGAAAAACTTTGCTGTTACGGTGAAATAACAGCACGGCTAGAACGCTTCTCAGCTTGCGTGGCCGGACCTAACTGTTGTATAATGTATCATATTCTAGTGAGTTGTATGAGCTGCAGCATTAAACTGTATTATTCAATAGTTTACTGTATTCTGTATTACCCCACATGTGGTCTCTTACACTGTGTTATTTCTGCATTACACGTTGCTACACTGTATATTCACAACACACTGTTATTCCTTTCTGCCTGTCACCTGTACTGTTTGGTGCCACTTCTTTATTCTTTGTTACTTATCTGGTGTATTTGTATGGTATGTCCAATATCTCCCTTCCTTATTGCCCCCCGTGTACCTCTAGCTCTATGTGTATTTTTATTTATAGGATCATGCAGCTGTAGCATAAGAACTCTACTGCACTTTTGAATACCCTGTATTCTCAATTCAATGACAATAAACCAATCTTGAATCTCTTTAAAAATTCTTCAAAAGACAGAAAATGGTATATAAAATCCCACTCGTGTAAAAAGTACTGTTCCTTTGATGTAATAACTGAAGTAAAACTATTTTTCTAGTAGCATCTCAATAAACTACTCACTGAAAAATCTCTGGGCTCTGCTCTACTCCGAAATGGGGCTGTTTACAGAAAAAATCTAATGTATATAATTTTCCTCTTATTTTAATGCTTCCTTTTCCCCCTGTCAGCTGTCTGACATTTGTGCTGGAGCTATGAGGCTAATGCAGCTAACGAGCAAGAAGTCTGTCATCCAAAATCCTTTTCAGTCACCACAGACTCTGGCTGAACGACTGTGTTTAGGTTGATGGGAAAAGTGTATAAATTTGTTTTTTTCACTAATCTATCATTTTTTCTCTTGTCAGTATGTGAGACTGACCTGCTCTTGTCAGTGATCTGAGCCTGCATCATGCGCAGTTTGGCAGGGGGGATGTAGGCTCCTCCGGTGCGGGTCAGGATGGGGTCCAGCTCCTCCTTCTTCCTCTTCACTGGAGGCTCCTCACCGGGGGGCTTCTCTGTTTCTGGTGGGGAGGCTGACCTGCCCCTCCGGAGCCGATCTCGACTGGACCTGTGCTCAGCTCGATCCCGCTCCCGACTGTAACGCCGCTCAGCACGATCTCGATCACGATCCCGAGACCTGACCGGAGGAGAGAAAAGAGAGAGGAGGCGGATCAGTATAATAGTAGAATAGATTTATCTCTTACTATCACAGTCATTTCTGGCAACAACAAAAGTCTTAACAATGCATTATACATACACACCAATCAGGCATAACATTCTGACCACCTCCTTGTTTCTACGCTCATTGTCCATTTTATCAGCTCCACTTACTATATAGGTGCACTTTGTAGTTCTACAGTTACAGACTGCAGTCCATCTGTTTCTCTGATACTTTGTTAGCCCCCTTTTACCCTGTTCTTCAGTGGTCAGGACCCCCATGGACCCTCACAGAGCAGGTGCTATTTGGGTGGTGGATCATTCTCAGCACTGCAGTAACACTGACATGGTGGTGGTGTGTTAGTGTGTGTTGCGCTGGTCTGAGTGGATCAGACACAGCAGTGCTGCTGGAGTTTTTAAACACCTCAGTGTCACTGCTGGACCGAGAATAGTCCACCAACCAAAAATATCCAGTCAGCAGCGTCCTGTGGGCAGCGTCCTGTGACCACTGATGAAGGACTAGAGGATGACCAACACAAACTGTGCAGCAGCAGATGAGCTATCGTCTCTGACTGTACATCTACAAGGTGGACCAACAAGGTAGGAGTGTCTAAAATCAGGTTAAAATCTTGACTGAGGGTAAAAAAAAAAACTTTTAAATTAAAAGAACAATAAATAAGACGACGATAAGAAAATAAAGGCTGGAGTCAATCCCAGCTGGAATGGAGTGCGGTGTGGAGTTCTCTGACTGAGTAAGGCTGAATAAGAGAAAGTGATCTTCCTCACCTGCGTCCTCTGTCTGAGCGATTCCGTGGAGATCTGGATCTGGAGCGAGAGCGGGATCGTGATCGGGACCTTCCACTTCCATCCCTAGACAGCACACAGAACAGCAGGAGATTTACTTTTACAGAAAAGCAAAATGAAGGGGTATCGATGAGTAACATTCTGTTATGGGCAAACTGAGCGTGAACTGTTAATAGAAGGAAGTAGTTCCTCCAGCTATGCAGAGCCATGAGATGAGCCTGATCAGACTCGAAAAGGCACTGCGGTGAAAACTTTCAGGTCCATCTCCTGGACCGTATGTCAGAGACTGCATTCGGGTAGCCGTTCACATTGAACCCTGGTCTTACCTGTCTGCGGAGGAACTCCTTCGTCTGGGTCTGCCGCTGTTATCCTGGGAGCCGCGCTGGAACAAAAAGGAAGGAAGGAAGGAAGGAATAAATAAATAAATAAATAAATAAAATCTGGGACAACAAGTGTGAAACATGAAAAAGAACAAATGCTGAAAAGCACGTATGAACTTTCAGACTGATGCTTGTACAACAGCAGGGAACATTAATTGAAAGCCCAAGCAACCCAGTGTCATCTGAAGATTGTTTACAGGATATTAATGTATTCTTTATATGTTAAAAAAAAAAAAAAGCAAAAGTGAAATTTAAAATAAGAACTGAAATTAAGATAATTTAATACTTGGTCTTTCATTTGCAAGAAATATCAGACAAATTAAGACTTTTTAAAAGGGGTGTACCAATCTGGTAAGCTGATATTCAATATTTGACGTTTATTTGTCTGCTGATGAGAATATAAACATCTAAAAAATGAAGAAATTGGGACTACATTATCTGAATTAGCATCACAGAGAAATTTAACATTATTTCTGTTGGACTACTAATGTAGTAAAACAAATCACATGGAGATATTTCAGCATTGCCTAAACCTTCCGCTCTTCTGGAGTTCAATAAATGCATCATCACATCAAACATCAGTCTAATCTGAACATCTGTCTGATGTCTGTCTATATTTGTAAGCAATTATGTGTCAATACGGATATGAGTCTGCTATCCTTGTGCATCCTTCCTTTAATAAGGACCCATTTAATAGAAAACCAAATTTCCCTCTCTTTTTTTTAATTTAAGAACTTTGAACTAATATGTAAACACTGTTAAAGTTTCAAAACATACTATTCACTCATATTTGGAAACCATATGTTTTTCATTCATTGTTTCTGTGACGTTACAAGAACTAACTCATTTACACATATAAATGCCTATTCAGTCTACAGCAGTTTAGCTCCACCCACTCACACTTAAGTTATGAGTGTTTCAGCTCTCAGTGCTTTTTCAATGAGGCACAATACAGGGCAGCCAATCAGATCAGAGCCCATTTATATCAGTCTTAAAGGCACAGTAATAAAAAGAGCCTGTTTAATAATAAGGGATAAAAGGAGGTTGTAAAAGAGAATTATGACCATTTTTGGATTTTAAAAGCAGGCAAGTGTTATAAGTGGCCCTCAACAGGAAAACAAAATTAAAATAGGAAAAATAACACCCTGTCTGATCATTACAGAAAACAATTTTGATATTTAGAGCCACTACTAACCCTGATGTGAGCGACGCTGCTCTTCATCCTGTGTGCAATGCCGTCATCGCTGTCTTCCTCACTGCTGTCGCTGTCCGAGTCGCTGGACTCATGGCTGGATCTGGACGCTCGTCTGGGTTCTTTCTCTGGACTTCCCTCTCTGGAAGCTGCTTCTTCAGCTTCAGCTCGTCTTCTCTCTGCTGGAGGGCTACCGCCTCTCTCTGAAAAACACAAATCGAGGGTGAGCTATAAAAGGGTCCAGTTTAAAGGAATAGTTTGGCAAATAAATACACAATTTTTCCTTTATCGTAACATCTACATGGAACAAGGAACATCAGACAAACGACTTAAAAGCCGTTCTTCCACTGCATGGTACCGGCTCGCCTCGACTCGCTTTTAGTACCACCTACATCTCCTTCCTCAGCAGATGTAGTACCCTCAGTGTAACTGGTTGCCATAGCGACGCCAAACGAAACTGCCAAGACGAGAAGGAGACAAATTTTGTTCAGAAGAGGTTGAAAGCAGCAAGACTAAAGACTGCTGACAAAAAAAGGAGAGTTTGGAAAAAACTACTTCAGAGTTCAGACGATGAGACTGTTCTGGTTGCTCAAAGAGGCCACGCTTACCTGGTAGCTAACGTTAGCATATCACTGTTGCCGGAACAAAACCTCGTATCTCCAAAATGGAAACTTTACAGGAGAAGGAAAAAACACACTAAACTTTTAATGTAAGTCAATGGAACCAGACGTTTTTCCAAGCCATTTTGGGCCGTTTCCGTTGGTCCATTCTTCACGAAATTCACATACAATGTAAAGAGCAACAGGCATTTTCAAATTATGTCAAAAACTGAAAAACGGCAAAAATGGTGATACAAGGTTTTGTTCAGATAGCAGCGATGTGTGTTCAGCGAATCTCTCTGACCAATCAGTAGTCCGTAGTTTTTATGCCACCTTTTGGTATCAGCTCAGCTCACTTGGGACCTCAACAGAGATGGTACCAAAAAAAGTAGTGGGTACCAGGTACCAACTTTTGCCTAATGGAAAACCACAAAAGGTGAGTCGAGTCGAGCCGGTACCATGCAGTGGAAAGTACCTAAAATCTCTGTTCGTGTTGAGCACCAAGAAGAGATACAACATAAGAATATATCCGCTCGCTACACAAAATACAGAAAAACAACAGAAACAGAAAGTCCCGGCAAGCAGCTTTTAAAACGAAATAAAATCAAACAACAGTGCAAACGTGCATACCGAAAATACTTGCCCTGGATGATCCACTGTTTCTGTTGTCAAGGACGTTTGATTTCACGGCAGATACTGTAGCTACATACAGTAATAATCTGATTGTATGTAAACTGTTTTACTGTTTTTGTCAGCTCAGTTTTGGCCTATCGAAAGCAGATTTAATCAATACTAAAGATGTCTGCTTATTCAAAAGCATAAATAAAACAGCAAATTTAAAAAAGAAAAAAAAAAAAAAAACTTTTTTTCGGCCAGTGGTATCTTCAGTTTCAGTTAGCCAGGAATGTTCATTTTGGTGCATCATTAATTAATGTCCAAATACACCACACAAATAAAGCACGCTCTGGGTTTAGGTGGGAATCCCAGCATTTAGGTGGGAAACAGGCCCCCAACGTTCACGGCACTGGCAAACAGCTGTGCCTCACTTAAATACCACTCAGAACAGAAGCGAATTCTCAGTGACCAGTTACATCAGGCAACCCTAAAGCTAAAGTCATGAACTCACTTAACAGTGAATCTTGTCTTGCACTAACAAAATTCCAGAGGGGTGCAGGGGTTATGATGTTTCACCTATCAAGTGCTTTTCATCAGCACAAGGTCACCTGTATACAAGTTACACAGATATATGGGACAGTGATCCAATCTGGGTGTGATTTAACTCCGTACTCTGAGTTGAGTAAGAAAGCGTTACACAGGTTTCCACCTGAAGCACCTTCACAGCTAATCTGCTGCACTGACGCTCAGAGGAGCAGAGGGGAACGCTCAGAAAGAGGCCGCTGAATCTGTACTCAGAGCCACAAAAAGCTGTGAAGTAATGATAAAGAGTAAAATTACAAAGAGTACATTTCACACAGAGTCCCCAACAAGGCCTGTGACTCCACTGGGAATCAACCAGAACATGAACAAAACAAACCCAGGGCATTTCGGTTCTGAACTGATCTAAACCTTTATTTATGCACTGCCACATCAAAAGTTTGGTGACACTGCTTTCTTTTCAAGTTTTCCCAGTACAGCTTGATGGTTTTATGGTTATTTTTTAGTTTTATGGTTGTTTTTTAGATTTTTATTGAAATTGTACCATAAATCTGAGAACAGAAGACATGAAAATTTAGAAAGTTAGGCCATCACTTTCGAGCTGTAGCGCTCATGTCACGCAGAGGTAGCATGTGTGAATTAGGCGTTAGTCTTTAAAAAAAAAAAAAAAAGAAAATCCCACCCTAGCGACTACTGCGACACGGCTGTGGCATTCAAGTAGGCACATTTACAAAAGATAGTAGTGATGGTTAATTTTCCGCTTTATCCAGGGTCTCTTTAGGTTATTTAAAAAATCCTCAATTATAGCCAATATTGTGAAAAGCTCTGCGTTTCCAGGCTGTTCACAAGCAGTTTATCAGAATCTCTTACCTTGAAACCCTTTATTTAAGCCTGTTTTTTGCTTCCATGATTTTTGTGGCAAAGACATGCCAGAGTTAATAAAAATCACCAACGGAACTGCATTAAATCACATTTCTAAAAAGCACAGGGAAGGAAAATATTGTAAAACACGTTTGGGGTTCATTACAGCTGCACTGACGCAGCTGCTGTGGCTTCAGGATGCACAAATCGGACACTGTGGCGAAACCTCTGGCAGCCGAATCAGTCATATATGGTGTGAAACGCTGCTGAAATGCTCAAAGCCTGGAGAAAAGCGTTTAACGGCGTGAGGAAAAGCACCGTCGGCGCGACACCTGCGATTCTCCGCAGCACAGCTGAGCGGGTCTGGCAGCGTTACGTTGTTTTCTGTTCTGCTAACCTGGCGATGACGAGGTCGCAGCTGCAGAACAGCAGAAACACAACAAAAACGCCTCTCAGTGCTGCTAAACGTGCAATTAGCCACAAAAGAAAGCCGCAATAACGCCTTCCTGCTTCGCCCAAAATAACTTCTCCGAAGAAAAACAGGCTCGCTGTGACGGAGGATCTCAAAGTCACGTTCCATTCATAAGAGCGTGACAACAAAACCAAGCTAACAAAAACGGCCACCCAAACACTGACATTTACACAGTGGGGCTTTCAAAGACCCCAGTTTGAGAGACTGACTCAACATTAACGACGGTGGGTGTAATTGCACCTCTGTTACTGTTTGATTTTGAAATGGCTTTGTAAATGACAATAAAAGCCCTCGAGCAAACAAATTTACCGAACGTTTTAAATCAGCACGACAGTCACAAAGAAACAGTCTGACTAGAAATATTTTTTTTCCTTCAGCCCAAAAGTAGCCGATTAGTCAAGACATAACACTGCATGACAAATAAAGGAAGCTTACACAACACCAGTTAGCACTGAGCAAACTGTATGAGCAATGATCTCTAACAGACCTGGTTAAGCGGTTTCTGATCTGCTGTTATCTATAAACATGGACAAAAGACTGTCAGGCACAATGAGATCACTGTCCAATTCCCAGCCAAAGCCATCCTAAATGTTAGGGATGCACAATGAGTGCATTTACAGACACTTAATCTGATAACTACAGAAAGTCAGATTTTGTCAGTAATCCGATCAACGTGTTTATATGCACTTGAGTAAACAGATAAGGTGAAACTCTGGGTTTACATGAGACAGTAATCAGATTTCTGCTTTGCAACCAGCCAATAAACTCACAGAAGATGACGTGACGTAAACGTAACGTAAAACTCAAAACTGCAGCTTTTTTCTAAACGTTGCGCCACTTTACCTGAAAATATGAACATACATCACCTAGAAGATGAAGAATATTTAAATCCAAGCATGTATTTGGTTTCCGTGTCGCTCCAAAAGTGTTTTGCTGCGTCTCGCGCCTACGCTGCTCGCTTATTTCCGGTACCGCGGTCTGTTTTCGCACATGCACAGACTGAGAAATCCGAAAGAAATCAGAGTAAGAGTTTACACGCACTGAAAAATCTGATTACTGAGCTAAAATCCAGCTCTCTTTATCGGATTTCTAGACCTTACTCAGATCTAAGAAATCAGAGGACACTTAACATAACTGCAGAAATCCAATTATGATCAGATTATTGTGTGCATGTAAACACACTCACTGACATGGGAATCATATATCAGTATTTACAGATATTCACCCAAAAAAAAAAAAAACACAACACTGGCCAGATGTTTAGATTTGACCGATATTTCATATTAATATTTAATGACCTATTTATTGTACTTAGAAAGAGCAGAAGCTGTAGGTGAAGCTGAGCTACTGCACTAAAATATCAGCATTTAATGCACTGTACTGCATTTTTAACCATACAGAAATAGATACTATATTTCTCTGTAATGTTATTCTAGGTGTACCTTCTTTCCACATTTTATATGTCTGCATCAGTATTGACCCAAAATTCCCAAATCGGTGCATCACTGCTAAATATAAAAAACAATTTACAGCTACATTAATGATGTGGTGCAAATGATACAGTGCAGTATTAGCAATAACAGCACTCTGATGCTGTTCAGACGGCTACTACTACTGTTTATTTATGCAATATACTTTTGTCTGGTTGAAAGTTTAGGCAGTTCACAGCAAGTGTGATGATTTTGCCATACAGTTTGCATTACAGCAATTGGTGTCATATTAGCTTCTATTACTTGTTAGTAGGGCTGCAGCACAGAAACGGCAGATTTTTGCTCCAAGCAAGAAAATCAGTTAACTACTTCTACTTTGGCCGTTTTGTGTCCTAGTTTTATGAAGTGTAAGTGAACTCTATTCGAATGCTGCTGCTACACCTGAAGAAAAACCCTGTAGCAGAACTGTGCTTGGCTAATTGTGCTAAATAGCCCACTACCTCTTACTTTCGATGTAGCATGTGTTATTTAAATGGGCTGCTGATTTTCTTTCTTAATTAATTTTATTATTTTGGCTGATAAAAAAGTATAATAGTGCTTCATGTGTTTACTAACCTCACACCAAGTGTGTCAGTTTAAAAAAGAAAAAAAAAATGAATAAAAACCAGCTTTAAAAAAACGATCATAGGCCAATTTAGCTGTAAAGAAATTGGAATCTGCTATTAAAGCTCCTGATCAGTGCCCCTCTACTTCGTAGCCACATTAGCTCTGTAGCTGTAGTGCAGAAACTAAAAAGCAAATTTCAGATTTTTTCAAAGAAAGCATTTTTTTCCTCTGAAATAATGCTTTAATTTGGCCGGAGCTCTAAAAAGATACTCAGTGCAGTGTAAAAATATGTTTGCGCTCAGTTGTAGAGAGCACAGTGAAGTGAAACGCGTAGGTGTCCTTGGCCGAGTGTCCGGGGGGACGAGGGTTTGACGCCACCGTCAGCCGGGTCGCAGATTCTGGTGGATTTGCAGCAGCTGAGCAAAAGAGATGATTGAAAGAATTATCTGGACAATAACACGGAGCGACACGGTGACTGAGGCTACTGAAGTAGAGCTGTGTGTGACGAACAGTCACAGGCTGATCAGATAAACTGAACAGAGCAGCTGCTCTCAGCCCACCGCTGACAGCCCACCACCAAGGGGAGCATTACAGTCACATACTCGATACTGCTCTGGATTTTAGGGTCTCCCGAGGAGGCAGACAGGACAGAAGGTCTGAACATCAGGCTTTCTAGTACAGAAGCGTCAGCACAAGCAGGTTTCACACATCGGACAGTCCAACTAAAGAGAAACGGGTAATGGCTTGAGCTGAAATCAGGACTGCGGGTTTGGGCACAACTGACCTGCAGAACCTGCACCTGATCTATGGAACTTAAAGTTTTTGATTACATCACCAAGCACCAATAATATTATCAACAACTACATTAACAACAACAACAACAACAACAACAATAATAATAATAATAATAACAACAACAATGTTTACCAGTAATATTAGGGATGCACTGATAGATTTTAATCCAGTATGAACCTGCAGTGTGTGTAGTTTTACAGTCTGACTGTAATAATTGTGGAGTGATTTTAATCCAGTATGAATCTGCAGTGTGTAGTTCTACAGTCTGACAGTAATAATTGTGGAGTGATTTTAATCCAGTATGAATCTGCAGTGTGTAGTTTTACAGTCTGACGGTAATAATTGTGGAGCGATTTTAATCCAGTATGAATCTGCAGTGTTTGTAGTTTTACAGTCTGACAGTAATAATTGTGGAGTGATTTTAATCCAGTATGAATCTGCAGTGTGTGTAGTTTTACAGTCTGACAGTAATAATTGTGGAGCGATTTTAATCCAGTATGAATCTGCAGTGTGTGTAGTTTTACAGTCTGACGGTAATAATTGTGGAGCGATTTTAATCCAGTATGAATCTGCAGTGTGTGTAGTTTTACAGTCTGACAGTAATAATTGTGGAGCGATTTTAATCCAGTATGAATCTGCAGTGTGTGTAGTTTTACAGTCTGACGGTAATAATTGTGGAGCGATTTTAATCCAGTATGAATCTGCAGTGTGTGTAGTTTTACAGTCTGACAGTAATAATTGTGGAGTGATTTTAATCCAGTATGAATCTGCAGTGTGTAGTTTTACAGTCTGACGGTAATAATTGTGGAGCGATTTTAATCCAGTATGAATCTGCAGTCTGACAGCAGCAATTCTGGAGCAAACTGGGGAAATGACAAACACACTTTATCCAGTATGAAATGACGAATCTCATTACAGAATCTCCTCTAGTAAAACTGATCTACTGCAAGATCAATAACACCACCAGGAAAACTGAGCACACTGTGAGCTCAGTTCTATAGTTTCATTGTGCTGATAAACCTACTTCATATTATACAGACAGATGAGCAGACGGAGACTGGGGCTCCTCCTCTAGGCACTCAGTGACCGTGTCTGCTCTCATTTATGACCGTGTTTCTGTTTGTGCGTATATAAGCTGCTGACTCTGGAAACATTAAAAGTAGGTCTCAGCTGTGAGGACCCCGACAAATCCCATGTGCTTGCCATAAAAAAAGTATTTAAGGCAACGTTAGAAAAATGACTGTGATTTATAGCCTAAATCAGGGGTCACAAACAAAATGTTAAGAAGAGACATTTTGTCCTTTCAACAAAAATCTAACCACCTTGGGAGCCACAACATTTTATGTCTATTTTACCATCTTGGCTGTAAAGATGTCTCAGTATGCGCTGATGTACTAGTATAGGCAAAAAATATAATATAAACAGCTATAGCCGCTTTTCTTGCACCTCTGGTAGGAAACTTTTCAGCAAAAGTAAAACAGTTTCTTGTAAAATGTCTCTCAATGATTGACTTTTACGAGGCTGAAGTCGCTTCTCATTCACCAGCTTCTTGTTCAAATTTTACCGTTCCACCTTAAATGGTGCCTGAGGCGCCAGAACGTAACTGCGGCACCATATAAGGTGGAACGGTAAAATTCGAAGAAGCCGCGAACGAGATGGCGATTTCAGCTTTGTGACTTTTCAGTGTTTGTAAGTTTCTCGTTGCAGATTAAACGTATCAGGAAACCAGCTGGAGTGATTATAAACGCAAATAAATCTATTCGTCTCTAAAGAGTTTTCTTTGCCGTTTCGTTAGCTACTAGCTAGGCGTTGCTATGGTAACCAGCAGTTGGCACACCAACCTTCAGGGTTAAAGGGTGAATTAGCAGTTCTACATTAACTCCAGAGTTTAAGACCATTTATTGTTAAACTGTGTTGAACGATCAGCAGAGCTTTATTTTACTGTAAAAGGAGGATTATTTTATTTTTACCTAAAAAATTTAATCCTGCTGTAGAGCTGCATGTTGCCGACCCCTGGCCTAAGTCATTACTTGCAGACCTATGACTGGTCTATTACAGCTCCTAGCACACGAGCTAGGTGATAAGAAATACTGGGAGCCTGGTATACGCCACTAATACTCTATTTCAGAAACCCCAATGCAACAAGTGTAAAGAGACTGTAGCATCTCTGTTGCCATGAGGACCAGCGTGCATCACACTTTTACAATATGTAATACCTTCTCCGCACTGCTGTAAATGAAACGGCTCTCAGAACACAGAAACGCAGAGATCCTGCTGGCATGGCCTCACAGAACAGATGTCCAGGAGAAGTAAAAACTGGCTTCTGGTGTAGTAAGAGTCTGTCTTACCCTCAGTCCTCTTCTGATCTCCATCACTGTCTCCTTCCTCCGACGAGCTGGAGCTTCTGCTCTTCTCAGGACTCCGCATCCCACCTGGGCTCAAACGCTGGACAAAGAGAAGGGATACAGATGAAAGAGGGAAAGGTGAGAGGGAAAGAGACGTAAGGCAAGGGAGACAGAAAAAGAGAGGGAAAAATACTCAATTCAAATGAAGATATCTTTGAAATGAACATAAAAACAGAGAGAGAAATAAAGGCAAAATGTTGCTTTGTTCTTGGTGCCACAAGAACGAAATAGCCTGAGTGAAAGTGGTCTGGCACACAGATGATATGGTTTCTAGCGGGATGTACACAGTAAACAAAATTTAAATCATTTATATTCCTGTAACAGGGGTGTTTAATTAACATTCAATAAGGTCCAGTTAGAGAAAATTTCTTCAAGCAAAGGTCTGGAACATCATGTCTAACTTGCATTACGATTTAGTGCCATATACTGTTTACTGAAGTAGCCTAGTAGGTATATCAACATCTATATAGTCGACAACTGACTGTCAAATCAAATAAAGTACAGTTCAGTCATATTAACAATACTTATTGTCAGTTCTCTGTTTTTAGAGCACACCAAGTAAATCAACTTTCCCCTTACTCACTTTCTCGCCTCGTCTCTCCCGTGTGGGTGTCACTCACTCGAGCCTCAGTGCTCATCGTAATGCACAGATCTGACAGGCTGATTAATGTCACGTGTGATATTTACAATGCATACGATTGGTTAGAGTTTCCTGGGCCACTAAACTGTTACGGTAAAGAATAGAAAAGTTCACCCATTGAAATAGAAACACTCGAAATTAAATAATTCTCAATAGTTTATCGATTACAGGTCCAGAAAGGACAGCACCTGCACCGTAGTGACCGCTGTCCTATAATTCACACATTATGGATAATTACTATGGCTGTGAAGCAATTAAAATAATTATCATAATCACATTTGTCTTATTTGCTCAAATTTGAGCCTAAGAAAACATTTTTTTCTGTTTAAAAAGCAGTGCATGTTATAGCTTTGTGAGTGGAGCAAATCGGCTTCATCATAACGTATTTATTACTTTCAATAACTAAATAAGATTATATTCATTGTGTAAAAGTAGAGTTCAAACGAACCGACACCTGAAAAGCATGTGGTTTTCAATATAGTGGACAGTGTTTCCAATTTAAAAAATGAATAAATGAATGAATGAATGAACAAATAAATCTGCTATCTCAGCTAAATTCTGTCTAAACTACTACCCAAGTTATACTGATGAATCTGAACTACAGCAGCACAAATTAGGCCATGTTGGTAATCTTGGGTCATTAAAGAAGCCGTGTGTCACAGCCAGTACAGCAGAACGTTGATGCTGCAGTTTTGATTGTACATCAGCCATTCACAAGCGACAAACTTTGTCGGAGTACATCATACGTGCTTCAAGTGACACGGCAAAATACCCTCTGCCATTGTGCGTGTATTTCCGCTTGCTGAGCACAGCCGGTATAAAAGCCCACCCTGATTAACACAGCGGCATGCAGAGCGGGACAGAAACGGTGTGGATACAACTTCATTTAAAATGGGCTTCACTCAGCTGAACGTTCAGAGAAAGTTCTGTCCACGGTCACGGCTGGAGGTGCTGTAGCCTGTTAGGATGTTAGACTGGCCAGCCGTCTTTTTCTTTTTAGTGGCCTTGATGTAACCACAACGTCAAAATCATGTAAGCCCAACTTAGGCCTGTCACAGCCATGAAATCTTAGCTGATGATTAACTGGCACAATTGCAAGTAACAACTTAATCATCTTTTTTCCTTAATTGTATGTATTATAATCATAAAGTGGCCACAGTGGCTAATTAGCCATCTTTCTTCCTAGATGTCAATATTTAGTAGCTCCCAACTGAGTTCAAGTTCAAACAGAAAAGCATTACTAATTATTTCCTGCTGCCATCTAAAGCCGTTACAGAACACCAGAAATCAGAAACGTTGTTGTTTTAAGAGCCATGACGTCTCAAAAAATGCGTTTTTTGTTGCGGCTTAAAATTATGATTATGAAAGACGTGTGGAAAATAACTGCAGTCAGCTAAAATAATTGTGATTCGGCGATTGTGAAATCGTGACGGTCCTCGTCCAACTTGGCCATTACAACAGAGACTGAAAGAGAGAAAGAGAAACAATCCAGCTAAAGCGACTAGATATTCACCCTAGAAGAGCTAGCACGGGCCTAGAGGTCGGCAAGTTCCCTGTCTACGGACAGGAAAAGGGATCAGAAAAAGTATATAAATAATGATAATAATAAAAACAACATTCATAATGTTAAAACAATGAGCCACAACTGAGCCTTTGAAAGGATACAAGTGGAGTGAATTCCCCACTGTCTCTGCTACTTGTGATCTACTGAGTAAAATGTATTTTCTATACAGCTAAAGTGTCCCAGGGGTTAGCTGAATTATGAAAATGCCACCGTAACCACAGAAAACAACTTGATTTTTAATATGGATAGCATGTGAACATGGATTAGTTGTTCCCAACATCATGGTCGGCATGCTACCTCGGCAAGAACTGCAGTGATTGTTGCAGTAAATAAATAAATAAACAAATAAATAAATAAATAAATTGGACGTAGGCAAATGCAATTACCAGGGAATGCTAAGGTCCAGAGTGGGGGCTGGGGCGTTGTTGGTGGGGTGCTGTTGGTGGGATTTAGAGAAAAAACACTGCTATTTATTTCAGCAATGAGGTTCTGTTCTGCTGCTTGGAAGTGAACCGTAACCCCAGCCGGAGTGACACGCTGTCAAACAACAAACAGCAAAACCAGCGTCTGCATCCGCCTCAGTTTGGAAAAGACCCGGGCCGATTTCTACAGGGACGCCAATCACAGCTGCCGGCGGTTCATTTCCAATCAAAACTCAATTTGCTGCTTGTGTGGAGTCCTGCCGAGGCAGCAGACGCGCTTTTTTCCCTTCTGCTGGAGGAGCCTGCGTGCCGGCAGAGCGCGAGATGCAGACGGATGAGGCTCGGAAACGGATGGGAGGAGGAAAAGAGTCAGAGAATAGCCACGGGTTTGCTTTCCTCCGCAAAAATGAAAGGCCTCTGGGGAGCGAGAGCAGCGTCCCTTAAGCTTATCTGCGCCCGCTGAGCCAAAGCTAGAGGCATTTCTGCAGACTAGGAGAGAAACTGAGGCCTTTTCAGAGACACTCGCATTGTTGGGCAGACAAGCTGATACAGAAAAGTTATCTACACTGCAGGAACAATGAGAAAACGCTGGGTGCTTAACATCCAGGGTGCTGGAGGGATGAATTATTAACATTGAAGGGGCGACGCTATAAAAAACAGGATAAAGAACTGAGTAAAAGCCCCATAAGCACTTTACCCTGAGCCTGAGAGAAAGTGCCCGGCTTTGGCTTCAGCTCTGCAGAGGGCACTATCTGCTGGATCCACAGCATCGCGCAGGGCTGATATCACTCTTCAGCTTCGAAAACTGGAGCATTTTTCAACTGAAAGTCAAATCACTTACGCTAGACGCCCGAATGCAAACGATTCAGCACAGAAATGACTCAACATGAGCTCCTGCTCAATATTTAACACTATTTTACGTTTTGCAATAACCTACTAAGAGCTGGGAAATAATAACCATCATGATATTCTCTAAATATATTACACATCATAAAATTTGATTGTATTTTTGATGAAGTTGGTATTAAAAAATAGGGGTTGACTGATATGTTTTTGGCCGATACTGAGATCGATTATTAGTAATCAACAATATCGATAAATTTAGGCTACTAATTTGAAATTTACAAACCTGCACCTCATAACTGACATTAAACGAATATTAGGATATTATACAAATAACGTGCTGTGAGCTTTAGACAGTAAAGGCTGCAGAACAGTAACTTAAACTTGAAAAAGGTATCGTTAGAAAAATAAACAGACAAAAAAGAACCTAAATAGCTCTCGAAGTTTGATAGCCAGTGACGTTTGTAAGACAAATAGAGCTCAAAAAAGGAGCCCAAAAAAACGTGAAAAATGCATACAGATATTACATTTACATAATGTTTATATTAAACAAACACATATGAGTCACTGACAGTGTTGAAACAGCACACAGCAGGAGCGGAGCCTTACTGTATGGATGTAAACGAGAAAACCTAGACTTGCAGAGAAAATCTAGTTGCAAAGAAGTGTCTGCTCCCACACACGCAAACCTCACTCTCACCAAACGAATGTGGGGTTTCAGGCAGTGTTCAAGCTGAATGTACGAGTCACGTGTATTTGGCTAGAGTGAGTGAAATTACATGACTAGATTCAACCATAACGTTTTTACCTTTTCCTCTCGCTGTGGGAGCGAAACAGGCAACCCAGCAACGCTGTCGACGGGACACTGGGCCAGAACACCGAAGCGTGTTTTGTTGATTGTGGTTGCATCAGATATGCACATAAACGACAAGAGGTGCAAAGCAAATTCATATCACTGCTGTCGGAACAACAAAAAACTCGTATCTCCATTTTTGTTGTTTTTCAGTTTTTGACATAATTTGAAAATACCTGTTGTCCTTTACATTGTGTGTGAATTTCATGATGTTTGGACCAACAGAAACGTCCCAAAATGACTTGGAAAAAAGTCTGGTTCCATTGACTTACATTAAAAGTAAAGTATGTTTTTCCTTCTGCTGCAAAGTTGTAATTTTGGAAATACGAGGTTTTGCTCCGACAACAGCGATATGCTGACTCTGATAATCGGAAAAATGGGAAAAATCAGCTCTGATTATCGGTCGGGCCGATAATCGGTCAACCCCTAATTAAAAAGTTATTGTGTCTATTAGGAACATGTCAAAATTTCAGTCACTGAAAAGCTGCGGCTGAAAACGGTGGAAAGAAAAAAAGCCCAAAGTTTCGGCCAAAAATGGTGAAGCAAACAAAACACAGAAGACGTGAAATGGATGCTGCAGTTCATTAGCCGGCTGGCATCTATCGGTTTTGGCCTATTTCACAAGGATTTGTGAACACAATCATAGCAAAAATAAATTGTGAGTAAAACTATGTATTATATTTGCTTGGTGTTATTAACCTACTTTACACTGTTCGACTGTTCATTTCTTTTCTACACCAAACTGGTTCACAATATAGCAAAAATACACCACATTTAATTATAAAAAGTCTAATATAGTCATTTTATTTTCTATCCAAAACCACCAGTGAACCTACACGAGTCTTCTGAGTATTTATATGAAATGCTGATGATGGCAAAATAGCGGAAAATCTGAAAGAATAAGTTTTGTATGGGCACTATTTTGTCCCACAACGCATGCATGCATCCCTCCGCCATGACAAAATTTAAAATATATATGTTTTAGGTCAAAATCTCAAAAATATCATAAATAAATGTTATTCAGAACCATTTCATGTAATAACTGTCTGTGAGGGAGCTTTTAGAGGCATTAAACTCGTCAGACGTCTGGTTCCCATCACCACCACTGTGAACTATTGTGACTTGGCAAGCTTCTCTAGAACAGAGCTCTGAATGACACACTTTACATCTCAATGATTTAGCTATGCAGACATTGAAAAATCAGTGCTGTTCTTTTTAAAAACATAAAAGGGGACAGGCACCAGAAACGATCACTCCAATCACCTGAAAATCTCACTATAATCTCATTTATCACCTGGAAACCTCACTTCAGCGTCACTCCAATCACCTGAAAACCTCAGTCCAGTCCCACGAGTCACCTGAAAAATCTCACTCCAATCAACTGAAAACATCAATACACCAGTCACCTAAAAATCTCACTCCAATCAACTGAAAACATCAATACACCAGTCACCTAAAAATCTCACTCCAATAACTTGATAACGTCAATACACCAGTCACCAGAGAATTTCACTCCAGTCTCACTTCAATCACCTAAAAATCTCACTCCAATCAATTGAAAACATTAATACACCAGTCACCTAAAAATCTCACTCCAATCACTTGATAACGTCAATACACCAGTCACCGGAGAATCTCACTTCAATCACCTAAAAATCTCACTCCAGTCTCACTCCAATCACCTAAAAATCTCACTCCAGCCTCACTTCAATCATCTGAACATCTCACTCCAGTCTCTCTCCAGTCACCTGAACATCTCACTCCAGCCTCACTCGTCACCTGAACATCTCACTCCAGCCTCACTCCAGTCACCTGAACATCTCACTCCAATCACCTGAACAAAGTTTCCAAACACAGCTGAGTGAGCGTGCAGCTAAATGCTAAAGCTAACATGCCCCGCAGCTGTAAGAACTACTCAGATTAACCGACTTTAAGGGGCCACTGCGCCGCTGAACGGGTCTCAAAGCTGGACTATGACCGAGACAGTGTCCGTTACCGCATTGACCCCCGTTAATCGGCGATATTAATAAACAACGTTATAAATAATCCCGCGCGCGCCCCCGTGTGCGCGCGCAGGCCACTCTCCCACCGTAACCGCTGTTTTTCCCCTCCGTTCTCCGCCTCTCCGCTCCGGTTAGCGGCTCTTACGGCCGTGACTGTTCGCTCTTCCCCCCGGGCCCCCCTCACCTGCTCTGGGCTGCGGTTTAAACTCTCCGCCGCTTCTTTCTCTCCGGATTCCGCCGCCGCCATGTTCGCTTCCTTCTACCACGAGTGGCGCTACGGGTGCCCGGAAGAGACAAACGACAGAAGTGTAAACGCGTTTTGGTTATTTCTGTGACGCAGCTCGAAGTCTGGATGAGTTAAGAGCAGCAGGGACAGTACAGCAGTAACAAACACAAACAGCGTGTATAGTATTAGTAAAGTTTATTATAATTATGACTTAATACTCATAAACAACGACGCTGAAGTCAGCTTCTTATTCGCCAGCTTCCTGTTCGAATTTTCCCGTTCCACCTTAAATGGTGCAGCAGTTACTTTCTGCCTCAGGCGCTTTAATAACAACTACTGCAGCAATTAATTCTCTACCGCGCGCATTATGAGAGCAATTAAAAAATCAACTCACCTTTTTTCCATAAAATGGTCCTTGATTTATGTTTTCGGACCTGATTATTAAATAAAAAACATTAAAAAATAAATGTGTTTATTGGGCAACATTGTGCGACAGTGGGAAAAATGATATAGAGCCGTGTTCCCTGAAGTGGTGAGACCTGTGACTGGCTAAATTCATTCCACTGTCCTACAATGCGTGCATTTACATGCGCTCGATAATCCGATCATAATCGGATTTCTGCGGTTATCTGATCATTTAAATGGTCATGTAAACAGCACACTCAGATCTAGAAATCCGATAAAGAAATCTGATAAAGAGAGGTGGATTTTAGCTCAGTAATCAGATTCCTCAGTGAATGTGAACTCTTACTCTGATTTCTTTCGGATTTTTCAGTCTGCGCATGTGCGAGAAGAGACTGCTGTACCTGAAATGAGCGAGAAGCGTCGCCGCGAGACGCAGCTAAACACTTTTGGAGCGACGCTGAAACCAAGTACATGCTTGACAAAATGAAGAAATTTACATATTCTTCATCTTCTAGATGATTTCTGCTTTGCTGGTTGCAAAGCAGAAATTAGATTACTGCCTGACTCCTGTAGACCTGTAGCTTCTCATTCGCCAGCTTCTTGTTCAAATTTTCCCGTTCCACCTTAAATGGTCCCCAGAATGTAACTGCTGCACCATTTAAGGTGGAACGGGACAATTCGAACAAGAAGCTGGCGAATGAGAAACTGACCTCAGCGACTTTTTAGCGTTCGACAGTTTCTCATTGCAGATTAAACGTATCAGGAAACCAGCTGGAGAGATTATAAACCCAAATAAGCCCACTCGACTCCAAATTATTGATGTTCATCTTAAATCTCTCTCTTTGCTGTTTCGTTATCTACTAGCTAGGTGAAATTGTTGTCTGCATTGCTATGGTGACCAGCAGTCTGCGCTGATCTTCAGGGTTAAAGGGTGAATTAGCAGTTCTACATTAACTCCAGAGTTTAAGACCATTTATTGTTAAAATCAGCAGAGCTTTATTTTACTGTAAAGGAGGATTATTTTATTTTTACCTACAAATCTGATTCTGCTGTGGAGACAGGACAGGACAGTAAAAGAGCCACATGTTACTGACCCCTGGTCTATAATAATAATAGACTGGCAGAGAGATTTATACATACAGTCCCATCAGGCCTAAATAGCCTAAAGTTAACTCCCATAGCTCTGTTCCACTCTTAGTTTAAAGAGTTCTACATGGCGGACTTAAAAAAAAACATTTTATTACATTATTGTATAGATGTTTTGATATATTTTGACTTATTACAGTAGTATGGTACCCTGCTTCTCTCATGGCAGCTCAAGTGAAGCCTAATCCATGACAGAATATAAATGTCCTTTCAGGTATTGTAAATAGAGTTTCTTGGCCCCCAGGTCCTCACAGTAATAACATACGTCTGCTTTTGCCCTGGAGCCAGACAGAGCGCGTCCCCCCGACGACCTCCACAAAAGAAAGACACTCAGCCCTGATTTAATTAGCCTGTTGGCAGGACATGCCGCACGGCCCGTTTTACCCTCTGTGTGTGCTGGAGCGAGCTCCACAGGCCCAGACTCACCACAGAGCCACCGGGCAGCCGGCTAAACGGTGTGTGAGTGAAATAATAACGACCGGTGACAGAGAGAAAGAGAGATCAGCAGCAGCAACAACAATACCTGCGTTCGCTGTAGATACACAATAGGGGTCACTTTTGTGGATGCAGATTAGAGAAAGTCAAAGGTAAAGTTCACTTTACTGTCACGTCCATTGAGCAAAAGTGGTCAACAGTAGTGAAATTTTTTAGGTTACAGTGTTACATGAGATAGGACAATCATTAATGGAATAGTTTGGCCACCCTGCTGAAAAAACAGCACTGACCAGCAAGCTGGTCTAAACCGTTCTGTGCTGGTATGGTGCTGGTATGGTCATGCTAGTTGACCAGCATACCAGCATTAAAACACAACACATGATGGTTTTGGTGACCAGCTTATCAATGTCCATTGCTGCTGACCAGCATACCAGTATCAAAACACCACTGCTGGTTGTGGTGGTGACCAACATATCAACGGTCGTTGTTGCTGACCAGCACACCAGCGTCAAAACACAACACATGCTGGTTTTTGGTATTATTTTTTCTAACAGGGGACACATATTTTTTTCCGTTTATCTCATATGCAGTCGATCAGCCAAGACATGTTTGATGACTTCTGTCAAGCTACAAACTTAATGTAGCTAATAAGTACGTTGGGCCTCACTCAGCACTATCTACCTAGGTTTTTTCTTAACACTTGTGTGGTGTTGGGGTCTGTGGGACCCATTTTCAATGTTTACCAAAATAAAAAATTATGATTTATTATTATTTCAACCCCAGATTCCTTGGCCTTTCCTCATTTTCTGTGAAGAACATATGAAATAACCCATTTTCAGTGTCTTCACTCTGTTCACCCCCCACACATTTATATTACATGTGGTGTTGGGTGAACCTGCGGGGAGTAAAAGTGTGGAGGTGCTGTGTCCTTCACTCTGTTCTCCTCCTACATGGCCTGCTGTTAGTGTGTGTGTGTGTGTGTGTGTGTGTGTGTGTGTGTGACAGTGGACATCATGGACAGGCTGCTGACTTGCTACAGCTGCTAAAGGAGAACCCTACGCTGACACTTGTGATATTTTAAACATCTGGTATTTTTACATAAATTGTTATGACTGTACTGATTTAATAAAACCAATAATGTGGTGGGTCCACCAGACCACTGAGTAACAAACACATCAACACCACACAAGGGTTAAATGTGTTCTTGAGAAAGGCCTTAAGAAAAAGTCTACGTCAGATTCATGACGTGTTCTTAAACCACAGAACTGTTCTCACCTTTGTGCTCTCGAGTGTTTGTAGATTCTGTTCTTACCTAAGAACAAATCCCAAATAAGAAAACACTGGTGAATGTCAGAATCTTCATGAAAACTGCGTAAGTGGGTTTTAGGAAGAAATTTCTTCTTAAGAATCATTGGTGAATGTAGCCCACTGTCTTTTGTTGTTAGCATCGTGCTAAAAAAAAAACAGCAGTTTAAGCTGGTTTATGCTGGGCTAGTGCTGGTTTAGTTAGTCACCCAGCATGGTCATGCTGGTTGACCAGCATACCAGCATCCAAAAGACAACATATGCTGGTTTTGCCGGTGACCAGCCAGGCTGATCTATGCTGGTTTTTCTAGCAGGGTAAATCGTCAGATTTTCCTCAAACCATGTTGAGTAATTTAATAAGTAATTTCTAATAACTAGATTACATAGTTTATAACACTGTATGACCCACTGTTATCAATAAATGATAGGATAAAGCGACAAGATGAAAGGATAAGCTTCTCGGTTTGGTGTGTGAAGTTTGCTTCTTTAGTTTTGCACTGGAGCTACAAAGCTAATGTAGCTAACAAAGCAAGCTTATCCATGTTTAGAACAGTTTGTCATACAGTGCCAGGAACCACATAAGCACGTCTATAATAGATTACAGAATTACTGCAGCTTGAAGCCTGCATGTGAAAATTTAGGCATGCAGTTAGCATGATGCTAAAGTACTTGTTAGTGCTACATTAGCCTCATAGCTCCAAGAGAACTAAAGAAGCAGACATTTTCAGACACCAAATCAGAGCCGGTTTATGAGGAGCCTGGCCTCTTCCTATTTCCCCTGTTATATCAAAAAACATGACTGCAAAACAGCAGAGGGCGCCCATGAGCAAGTCCTCAATGATGGGACTAAATGGAGCTAAACGGCTAAAAACGAAAGGTTAAAATAGTTTTTAATCACTTTCCCGGAACTTTCCTTTAATGAAGGATGTATTTCACTAAAAACAGCACTAAAACAGCAAAGAAGACTCACCTGTATGTTTTGGCAAACGGGTTTTGGGCAGCAGGATGTTAGCATTACTACCACCGAGTGCTGATTGGTTAGCATTACTGCTACTGAGTGCTGATTGATGCTCACTGACGTCTTGGACGTACATGAGGCGCCGTTTAAACTCCTATAAACTCAAAAATATAACAGCGCTGTTAAAATGTTTTATACTGTTCTGTGTTCAGGAAATTAATGTTTTCTTTTATATTAAAAATGTTGAAGCATTTATATGATCTATAATTTTGCTCAAATGCTCCATCTTAACCCATTCATTTTGGACTCGCTTGTGAGCGCCCTCTAGTGTTTGAGAAACCCGGAAGACCCTCTCTACAAGTTCTCTGCACCAAATATGTCTTGGTGAATCACCAAAATTTGTTTAATTTGATTTTTCACCAAACTATTCCTTTACAGAGTAACAGTCAATAACAGACGACACAGAGAGCCAACAAGCTGCACAAGACTGAGAGTCATAGTGTGAATAATATTTAATTTTACTGAGACATTAAATATTGAAGAGTACAAATAGACATTAAATATTAAAGTGCAATAGACAATAGACAGTGTAGAGCTTGTTAGAGTGAAATGGAGGTAGTACAAATCATGTTTAACCCTAAAGGGATGAAATTCTGTACCCTTACAGTCGTATGCAAAAGTTTGGGCACTCCTGGTCAGATGGACCAAATTTGATTGTGAATAAAAGTGTAAAAATGACTGAGTACTATTAGATATTCCCCTAGGCAAATGAGGTGTTGTTGATTTTCTGAGTGTAAATAAGTGAACACGTCCTCTAC